TCAATTGGTACTAATGGGCCCAAAGTGTGCCAAGAAAATATCCCCCACACCATTACACCACCACCAACTGCCTGAATCGTTGATACAAGGCAGGATGGATCCATGCTTTCATGTTGCTGAGGCCAAATTCTGACCCACCATCCAAATATCCCTGCAGAAATCGATACTCATTAGACCAGGCAACGATTTTCCAATCTTCTATTGTCCTATTTTGGTGAGCTTGTGCGAATTGTAGCCTCAGTTTCCTGTTCTTAGCTTATAGGTGTGGTCTTCTGCTGCTGTACTCCATCCGCCTCAAGCTTCGACATGTTGTGAATTCAGGTATGCTCTTCTGCATACCTCGGTTGTGACGAGTGGTTATTTCAGCTACTGTTGCCTTTCTATCAGTTGAAACCAGCCTGGCCATTCTCCTCTGACCTCTGGCATCAACAGGGCATTTTCACCCACAGAACTGGTGCTCACTGGATATTTTCTCTGTTTCAGACCATTCTCTGTAAACCCTAGAGATGGTTGTGCGTGAAAATCCCAGTAGATCAGCAGTTTCTGAAATACTCAGATCAGCCCATCTGACACCAACAAACATGCCACGTTCAAAGTCACTTAAATCACCTTGCTTTCCCATTGTGACGCTCAGTTTGAACTGCAGCAGATCGTCTTGACCATGTCTACATGCCATAATACATTTAGTTGCTGCCATGTGATAGGCAGATTAGAAAGTTTTGCTAATGAGCAGTTGGACAGGTGTACCTAATAAAGTGGCCGGTGAGTGTATATTGGTATCGAGTATAAGTATTTTAAAAGGTATCATTTTAAATGTTACAAACTCTAATATACAACACTACATTATATTAAGTGACCTGCTATATTAACTATTGTGCACTGGCTTAAAAATATGTTATGTGCTTATTGTGCCCATTTTAAGTGCTTTGTACCAAATTTTAAATTGAAATCTATGCATTTAAATGTAATATAATTCTTTTTTTTATCTTATAAGGGAGACGTCTGTCGAACTGTCTCCAGTCTGGGCTCTGATGGTGCAGATGTTTACAGTTTGGACAGTTATTCTACACACCAAGGATTCAGACATGTTAATATAATGTTCCGCATTGAAGATGTTTGTGTTTGTGAAGCATATGCATGGTTCAGAGGGACTAAATGGCTTCTTTGTCTGTCATTTATCAGGGTAATCAGCCACACGCTCTTCTTTTGTCACCCCATGACCAGCACAAGATGGTGGAGAAGATTCCAGCTCAGACATCCAATATTTGTCAGGTAATGCTCTCAGATGATGAAATAAATAAATGAAATTTTAACAATAGTTTAAAGACTAAAACAAATCTAGTCAGGCATGTGAGCAGGAGTCATTTGAAGACATATGGTTAAAGCGTTCCGTGTTTACCCTACCATTATAGTAGGGTGGCGCCCCAACAAGTTAATTTTATTTTCTATAGAGCGCCAGATCACAACTTCCTTTAATCAACAAGCTAAAGAGCTGTATGTAATATCTTATTTTCATAATGGCATGTCATTTCTGTCTCTACATGGTTGCGCATTAAACGTATATTTTTAATTACTTTACGTCATGTCATTCCAATCCTCTTTGTTCATCCCAAAATACCTTTGTTTGTCTTTGACGCACAATTTATTATTTTTTTTCTGGGAAATCAGAGAGCTCCCTCATCCTCCATTTACAGCAAGGCTCCCAACTAGGGCTGCTTGATATATTGTAACATTACTTTTATTGCGGTTATATTAATGTACGCAATATTCATATCGCAGACATGTGTGATAAGTTACATGTATTTATGTATGCATGTATGTACATTGGTTTTTTTATCTAAATTTGACCAATCAGATGGGGCCTCACTATTTTTATCCTGGAGTGGAGAAAATGTCACCAGCCAATCAAAATTTCTGCTGAGGTTTTCACTCATTCGTAGGGCTCTATTTTAATGATCTAGGCCAAAAGTCTAAAGCGCATGACGCAAAAGCATAAAGGCCGTGTCCGAATTCACTTTTGCTATTTTAAGGACGGAAAAATATGCTCTGCGCCCCAGCGCACGGTCTAACAGGGTTGTGCTTATTTTTATAATGAGGTATTGTATAATCAGTTTAATAAGCAATAATTAGATTGGAAAAATATCTTTATTCATTTTCCTTTAGCTTAGTCCTTTATTTATCAGGGATTGCCAGAGCAGAATGAACCGCCAACTATACTTGGTGATGTTTTACGCAGCACATGCCCTTCTAGTCACAACCCAGTACTGGGAAACACCCATCCACTCTTATACGCATTCATACACAATGCAGGGTTCAATGCCAGGGATTTTTTCTACTGGCCCAATCGGGCAAGTGGTTTAGATTTTTACTTGCCCTGCCAAAATTTTCTCTGGTCCCACCAAAAAAAAGAAGTCAGCCATTTAGTTTTTCAGCATAACTTTTCTTTAAATACAACTGACAATTTAAAAACGATTTAATTTAAATACAATACTGATTTGATTAAAGTGAATTGTTTAATGTGTGGTTTAGTTGAAAACTACAACAATTTTATGTTTTTTATTTGTTTAAAACCCACCAAAATGCCTAATTTTTAAACCGGCTTATTAAATCAATCTTTAATACTGTCAATATTTTTATTTTTCATTTTTTTGTAAACCTAGATTTAAAATGCATTTCATTTCTTGCCTGATCCATCAACATAATCATATTAGCTTACGTTTTAATCAATTATGGCCTTTGAGTTTTTTTTTAAATGTACACTATGAATGCTAAGGAAAGTCTATGGAGGGGGTCCGTGCAGGGGTGCATTTCTCGCCACAACACCGGGACTGCAGTCAGATCATGAAGCAATGTGGATCTTTCTTTTGAGGTGTCGAAATGAACAAAACAAATGGCCTAATACAAACTATTAGATTAAAAAATGGAAAAATTATCAGATGGTAATTTCGGTCATTACACAACCATAATACACTGTGATATAGGCTGGTTCGTTGTATCGTTTTGTTTTACTACAATCAATCCGCTTAATTAAGCCAATACCACCTCATGTTTGCGATCTCAGAACGATTGATTTGGCGCAGACTCAAACACGATTGCGGGATTCACATATGCCACATGAACCGCGGTTACTGGGCAAACGAGACAGGTTCCGAAACAAACGTCTGGGCATGAAAGCACGCAATTTACAAACAGTTGCAGCCAAATAAACTTTAGTGACAAGACAGCACTAGCACCAATCGGGCCAGCAAACTTTCTGTATACTGTCCTGAGCTTCTTGCACGCTGGCCCCAGGCCAGCGGGTAGTCCTTATTGTTGAACCCTGCAATGGCCAATTTAGTTAATCCAATTTACCTATAGCGCATGTTTATTTATTTTATTTATTTTTAATTTTTTATCAGGATCCCCATTAGCCACTACCAAGGTAGTGGCTATTCTTCCTGGGGTCCATCGAACATAACACAAAATTACATTAATACACAACAACAAAGACTAATAAAAACATTAACATACAAAATTCATACATAACATCCAAATCAACAATCCACTTAATATTGTTCCATTAAATATTTTTTAAATGATTTTTTAAACCTCCTTTTACTTGTTACAAAGCATGTAATGTCTGATGGCAATTCATTCCATATTTTCATTCCTCTATACATCACGGTACGTTGCTTTGCATTAGTTTTTGAAATGGGAAGCAAAAAATTTCCTTTTAATGCATGCCTGGTGTTAAAATGATGACTAACATTACTATACAAAAGTTGACTGTACAATACACTTGGAACTTTTAACACAGAAATATTTCTTATAAAACACAGCAGAGAAACAAATATCTCTCCATGTCTTGGAGGAACTTTGAGCAAAACCCACGTGAACACGGAGAGAACATACAACTCCACACAGAAATGCTAATTGGCCCAGTCGGGATTCGAATCAGTGACCTTCTTGCTGAAAGGCGACAGTGCTAAGCTTTTTATTTTGATATCATTACATCAATAAATTATTTAAAAACATAGCTAATAAAAATAGCATTTGTTTAGGAAAATTTTATATAATAAAGAAATATCATAATGCAGTACTTAGGAGCAATACCACATATAATATATTTTCCCAGTATTGTGCAGCCCAATATTTTATTTGATTTCAGAAAGGTACAAAAAAAATCCACAAAACAGACTTGTTAAATCTGAATATTATTATGCTACGAAAATCCTTTTGTGTGCAACATAAAACAAAAATAATCACTTTATTCTGTAGTTTCTTCTCCTCAGTGTCAGTATGTTTACGTTTACAGCGCACGTTTACAAGCACAGTGAACTGATATACCCTGCAGATGCACACTAAAGGTGTGTTCACCTTTAGTTTGATTTAAATGCACTGTAGTGTGATTGCTTTGTTGGTGTGATTCATTTGAATAACTGTAAAAGCTAAATTTTAAACAAGTGGGCTGAAATATGCCTAATAAAAGACCATTTTGCATATATATTTTGATTTGGTTTTAAATGATACCTATCATTCCCTTTACAAGATATGAAATAAGTCTCTTATGTCCCTAAAGCGTGTACAGTATGTGCATTTTCAGCTCAAAATACCACACAAGTAATGTAGCTCTCTGAAACTGCCCCTTTTAGGCTTTGATCATAATTGTGGCATTTTGGTGACTGTCACTTCAAATTCAAATGGGATTGTGCTTTTTACAAAAGAGGGCGGAGGTTGAAATGCCTGTGTGTCAGCATAGTGGCAGATTTAAAAACAAGACTAACGTCCTATGCCAATGAGGGAGAGATCGTCACTAAGGGCTGGGGCTTTCTCCCTCTGATAACATGTACAAAGGGAGAATGTCAATCAAAGTATTTCTGCAGACTGCTATTTATGAAGTGGGATTATAAAAAATAAAATGAATAAATTTTTACAATTAGAAGCTGGTTATATTCAGTCTTTTGCCACACAACTGTGTTTAAACCCCTTCTAAAAGTAATTTTTGCATAATAGGTCCTCTTTAAAATAATAGTGTAAACATTAAAGTTGACTAGGACTGAAATTAATCTTGAGAATCGAGCTTAACACAAATGTCAGGGCCTTACTGTACCTTTATGTTTCGGTGCCGTTCAGCCATTACTGAAGTGATGAAACAGGCTGTGTTTTCTGAGATGTTGCAGGTGCCAGTGCAGGTTGTGTGTGATGTGAACGTCGGAGGGCCTGTCATGGTGCTGAACCACTGCAGTCCGGATCAGATTCCTCACTCGATGATGTCGGATCTGAACGCAGAGTCTGTGTCTATGCCAGCCCAGAGCTTCTTTTCTGAACACCACTCACCCCATGAACCAGGTCATCATCATAGACACTTAAAATTGATTTAAACAGCTCCAGCATGCATTCTTATCCTTTATTTTTCCGTGAGCTCTATGCATTTGTGTACTGTTTGTTCAACTGGGTTTTCTACACATTCTCCACATACTTTAGTGTCAAACAGACCTTTCATTATTGCATATAAAATGAGTAAATGCATTAATGTTTGATAGGAAATTAAGCTATTCTTGTCATTTTTATGTCAAGTTTTTTAAATGCTTAAGGAAGGTTTCTCGTGGTCTGTGCACTTTAAGACAAATGGAGTGCACAGTAGTGAATATACTTATTTTATGCAGAGATGTAAAAACTAAAAATTTGGGTGAAAAAAAATCCAACTTTTTGAAATCAAAACAGGTCAACAACACTCAAAAAATAACTTTTGCTGCTTGTTTAAGTGTGGTTTATTCATAAACTAATTTTGAGAGGATCACATGCTTATGATCAACACAGCTGGCTCCTCATTAGCTTATAAGCATTATAAATAATAAGGGTGTCACGATCCTTCAAATCCTTGATTCGATTACATTTTCGATTCTAAAGTCACGATTCGATTCGATTCGATTTTCGATTATGAATAATTAATTAATTAATAACAAATTAATTATTTGTAGCCTACCGTTTAAACTACCTGACTTGCATGGTCTTTGTTTTACCCATAAACAAATCATACATTAAATGAATAAAGGTAAGTTACACACATAATTACCACCTGTCAATCACCTTTTCTGCTGGACTCGAGAATAGGCAGTGATCTGTGTCATTATAATGGCGTCTGTAAAAAAAGGTGCACAACCAACAGGAACCAGCCAACAGTATCTGAGGTGTTCGCTAAAATGACTAAGTACTTGTGTGAAAGTAAAAGATGGAAGCAGTCTACTGACCCGATGACTGCCTTGACCCGCTGTCTCTAGCGCATGACAATGTGTGTGCGTCTGTGTCTGTGTGTGAATGAGTGTGTGTGGTCACGTGATGTGCGTTTTCAGCGGTAGTGAGGAAGGAGGGCTGCTCAGAAACGCTACACGCCGGTGTGGATGTGGATCGTTGTCGTTCTAAAATGCCATTTAAAAACAAAGACATGTTAGTGTAAACAGGGCCTGAGTGTGTATTTTTCGCGAGCGGATTTACAACGGGTGCGGGGCGGAGGATCGCGATGCGCCCATCGTCTATCATCCCAACCGTAATACGTACATAGCAGAGCTTGCAAACTGTGTTTTTTTGTCGACAACATGAACGTTGTCTACATAGCTAACTGGAAATACTTCCACACCGGTGACTTCATTGAAAGAGGAGAGGATTTAAGCTCTGTTGACGGGTCTCCTGCGTCTGCAGTTTAACAAGCACTTCAACAAGCATGTTTTTTTCCTGCTTGGCAAGCCAAGCTAACGCGACATGGGGGCGTGGAAGCATCGACGATTCTATTTTTTGATTCGATAATCGGAGTTGAGCATAAATTTCGATCGATTTCGATTTCACCCTTAATAAATAACCAGTTTTTCACTCCAGTTATCTTCGTCTTGAAGCTTCCCCTCTTCCACCCCTACTTCCCCCTTTTTTTTCCGATAGGGCGACACGGTGGCCCAGTGGCTGCACTGTTGCCTCACAGCAAGAACACTGCTGGTGCAACCTTCTATTGGGCTGGTTGGTGTTTCTGTGCAGAGTTTACATGTTCTCCCCATGTTCGCGTGGGTTTCCCCCGGGTTCCCCGGTTTCCTCCTACCGTCCAAAAACATAAACCATAGTCATCGACTAAACCAAATTATCATCTAAGACAACCTTAGTTTACACTTCTCACACGGCGACAAGCAGGGGAGTTCTTGAGACCTGCCTGAGCTCCAACTTCCCTCTCGCCCTTCTAACGGGAGGGAGCCCCGGGCTCAAGGATATTACGAGCTCATGGCTCTCTCCCGGGACAGCATGCCAAATACACTTTAATGATTATCAGCTAAATGTGAACTCTTGAAACTACTTATCTTATGAAATAACACAATTCTTAAGTTTTTTTTGGACAACTTAATTGTTTTATGTTCAATCCACTTAAATTTGTCAAAACGATTTAGTTACCTTAATCGATTTGTGTTGGGAGAACATGAAGGAATTGTGTGGAACCCAGCATTTTATTTTTTACAGTGAATGAGATTTACATAGACTGTAAAACATTTACATTTACATTTACATTTAGTCATTTAGCAGACGCTTTTATCCAAAGCGACTTACAAATGAGGACAAGGAAGCAATTTACACAACTAAGAGCAACATTGAATAAGTACTAAAGGCAAGTTTCAGGTCTGTAAAGTCTAAGAAGGGAAGTGTTAGTAGTTTTTTTTTTTTTTTTTTTTTAGTACAGTTAGTGTGATATTCAAAGAGGCAATTGCAGATTAGGAAGTGAAGTGGAGACTAAATAGTTGAGTTTTTAGTCGTTTCTTGAAAATAGCGAGTGACTCTGCTGTTCTGATGCAGTTAGGGAGTTCATTCCACCAACTGGGCAGATTGAGCGTGAGCGTTCGCGAAAGTGATTTTTTCCCTCTTTGGGATGGAACCACGAGGCGACGTTCATTCACAGAGCGCAAGTTTCTGGAGGGCACATAGATCTGCTGAAGTGAGTGCAGATAAGAAGGTGCTAGGCCAGAAGTCACTTTGTAGGCAAACATCAGAGTTTTGAATTTGATGCGAGCAGCAACTGGCAGCCAGTGCAAACGGATTAGCAGCGGAGTGACATGTGCTCGTTTAGGTTCATTGAAGACCACTCATGCTGCTGCATTCTGGAGCAGTTGAAGAGGCTTGATAGAGCTAGCTGGAAGCCCAGCTAGTAGAGAGTTGCAGTAATCCAGTTTGGAGAGAACAAGAGCTTGAACAAGGAGTTGAGCTGCATGTTCAGATAAGAAGGGTCGGATCTTTCTGATGTTATAGAGTGCAAATCTGCACGATCGAGCAGTTCTAGAAATGTGGTCAGAGAAGTTTAGTTGGTCATCAATCGTTACTCCAAGGCTTTTCACCATTTTGGATGCAGTAATGGTTGCCCCATCCATCTGGATTGAAAAGTTATGGGTAGAGTCGGGTTGGCAGAAACTACAAGCATTTCCGTTTTTGCGAGGTTCAGCTGAAGATGATGATCTTTCATCCAGTGTGAAATATCCAACAGGCAGGCTGAGATACGAGCTGGAACCGAGGGATCATCAGGATGAAAAGAGAGGTATAGCTGGGTATCATCAGCATCGCAGTGGTAGGAGAATCCATGTCTCTGGATGACTGGTCCTAGAGATGATGTGTAGATGGAGAAGAGAAGTGGCCCAAGAACAGAGCCTTGAGGTACCCCAGTGTTTAGATGCTGTAGGTTGGACACCTCTCCCCTCCAAGACACCCTGAATGACCTGTCAGAGAGGTAAGATCTGAACCATTGTATAACAGTGCCCGCAACGCCCAGTGACTCAAGCGTAGATAGCAGGATCTGGTGGTTGACAGTGTCAAAAGCAGCTGACAAGTCCAGCAAAATGAGGACTGATGATTTAGAGTCTGCTTTAGCCAGTCTGAGATCCTCCACGACCGAGAGCAGGGCAGTCTCAGTTGAGTGGCCTTTCTTAAAGCCGGATTGCTTGTTGTCCATGAGATTGTTTTGAGTAAGAAAGTCCAGGACTTGATTGAACACTACTTTCTCCAGAATCTTGGCCATGAATGGAAGCAGGGATACTGGTCTGTAGTTTTCAAGTAGCGTATGGTCCAGGTTGGGTTTCTTTAGCAGTGGGGTTACCCTAGCCTGCTTAAATGTAGTGGGGAATAAACCAGAGTCAAGAGATGTGTTAATTATGTGAGTCAGTGTTGGTATGACTGCAGGAGAGATGGCTTGCAAGAGATGAGAGGGAATGGGATCGAGTGGACAGGTGGTTGCATGGCTAGATAGCACAAGTTTGGACACCTCAGACTCAGAGAGCTGAGAAAAAGAGGTGAGTGTGTGTGGTGTTGGTGTTGTATCTTGCGTGTTTGTTGTAGGTGCAGCAAATTGGGCACTGATTTTTGCAGTTTTGGTGCAGAAGAATGTAGCAAAGTCATCAGTAGTAAGTGTGGAGGATGCGAGTGGAGGAGGAGGATAGAGGAGGGAGGAAAATGTTTTAAAAAGTAGGCGAGGATTAGTGGCATTGTTGATTTTCAGACGGTAATATGTCTGCTTTGCAGAAGTAACCTCAGCTGAGAAAGAGGACAGAAGAGTTTGGTATGTTAAGAGATGTGCAGGATTTTTAGTTTTCCGCCAAATTCTCTCCGCAGCCCGAAGTTTTGAGCGATGCTCACGGAGAGCATCCGAGAGCCAGGGTGCAGGAGGACTGGCACGGGCTGGCCTGGATGCAAGAGGACATAATCGGTCTAGACATGATGCTAGTGTGGAGCAGAGTGTATTAGTGGCACTGTTCGAATCAAGTGCAGTGAGTTTGCGAGATGGAGGAAGAGAGTCTGAAACAATGGTGGATAGTCTATTGGGTGAGAGAGATCGTAGGTTTCTGCGAAAGGTAACCAGTGTTGGAGTGTGTGGCGGCTCAGGAGTAATGTGGATGTTGAGAGACAGAAGGAAATGATCAGATATTTGTAGTGGAGTTACTATTGTTTGATCAGTGAAGCAGTGTCGTGTGTAGATAAGGTCTAGCTGATTACCTGATTTGTGGGTAGCAGAAGTAGGTGCTCTTTTTAGGTCAAAAAACAGTTGACCTAAAAATGCTGGGTTCCACACAAATGGGTTAAGTTAACCTGTTTTTTACAATCTTAAGTGAAGTAAACCTAAAATAATAAAGTTGTCACAAAAAACTCAAGATGTGTGTTGATTCTGCTCATTTTAAATGAGCTGGAAAAACAAAATTGATTGTATATTTGATGATAAAATACATTTTATTAGCCGGTTAATTGATTAGTGTGATAAAAATGATATAAAATAAATACTAAGAAAACAGAAGTGATGGTATTTAACCCAAAGTGTATAGGTGACCATCATCAAGTGATTGTGCATGACCATCCTATTACTCAGTCAGAATACTTGGGCATTTACATTGACGTTTCTTTTTCATGGACAACACACAGAGTGGGTTTGCTCTCGTTTACACCAGAGATCGTTTTTTTTATGGAGGTAACATCTTTTTAGAGTTAACAAAAAGTTTATGATTGTAACACGGGGAGTGATACAGACAACTGAGTTAGGATATACTTGCAGGTTTATTGGGGTAGTCAGGCGAGCAATGGTCAACACAGGTGCAAACAGATATGTGAAGGAAATACAGAATCTAGTGATGTGACGTTGTGCACCAAGGCTTTAGCATGTATCATAAAAAGCTTGATTCATTTTGCCATCATCACGTGATTGACGACATCCGAAGCTTCATTTTTGCCTTTACCCACGTGACTGCTTCGAATTTTGATTCAAAAGTCGTTGCGTTGTACTTGTACATGTGTAATGGCAATAAAGTTGAATCTAATCTAAACACCCCCATGGGTTAGTAAAGTGTATAGCGAGAGATTAGACGTCGATTACATACATTTCTAGTGTTTCAAAGCACTGCACCGGTCTCACACATCAGTAATAAAATAAAAAATACAATAGTAATTTATAGTAAAAAGGTTTTGAACCATACTGAAGTGTATTAGTGTTTTTTTTTTTACAACTATCTTTAAAGAAAACCCCTACATATCGAAGTATAATGTTTAACGTAGGCCAGCTGGCGAGTGCAGCCCAAAACCATCACTCACATAGCCTCCTACTACAGCATTCACCTCCCGTGCAGGAATCGCTGATTCTTTCCCTGCTTGGAACGAGTGGGTGGGTGAAGGACTAGTTAGAATACAATAAATGTAAATAGTTTTGATTACCTTGGATTTTACTACAGTCATCGGTGGTGAAACGTAACATACCTTGTGTGTAAAAACTACAGTAATTGAATAATTTGTTTGTGTTACTGTTGTTGTATTACTACATGAATGAGTTGGTCAGTTGTGAACATTTGACATTATTTCAACACAGTGCATTCCCACACTAACCAGAAGAGGTCCTCATCGAGCTCTGATTTAGAAAGCTTCGAACCTAACAAACCTTTTTCCAATACAATTGGGTCGAGCGCTTCACTGGTTCAGAAAGCGTCATTTCACCATCACTACCAGAATCGTAGTCAAAGTATAAGGCGAGAGGTCGAAAGGCAGGCGGCAGACAGAGACAAAAAGACAAACTTGGCAAAGGTCAAAACACAAAAAACCAAGATAAAGAAGCCGCGTTGAAATGTCACTTACAGTAAACAAGACTCAGCAATGGGAGTGAGTCGGCTGCTTAAATAGTGTGTGTAATCAGTCTTTGACAATCCTCTGGTGGTGCGAGTGTAATCAGTCAGAATGAGGAAGCATGTGCATGTGAGCGGAGTGCATATATGAAAATGTTGTCCAACAATGGCGGATTTTTAGTCCATAGTGATTGTGCGTGCAAAACAGCGATCTAGGGAGTTACGATCTCTGGTGATCGTGACAATTATGCTGTTTTATAAGGTTTTTCTTGAAAGCATTGTTGGATATGATATCAGTGTGGTTTGGCAACCTATCTGTACTGTGTAAATCTAAGTTGATGCATCTCGTCAGAATGGAAAATTGTGAGGCACGATGAATATTTTAATCCTCAAGTTTTATATGAGAATTGTGTCCCTAATCAGGTGGAAAGGACTCTGAATGATCCAATTTCCCACATAATTTGCTTCCCTCTGGTAGGAGACATAGAGTCCCTAAGTGCAGGTCGAACCGATATAAGAAAATCCTTTGTACCAGTTTCAGTGGGTTTATTTAACAAGAGTTTATCTTAACTTGCATTATAGTTATTGTAACTACTGTATTTTGTATTGTTTTATTACTGGACATTCCCAAAAAATGTGCCAATGATTAGGTTCATGAGACCCACATACTGTAGGCTCCAGCACTTAGTGTCCTTTCCCATGGCGTATGCTCTTTGTTTTGGCGTGATGAAAAATCTTATTGGACATTTCCATCCAAATTCTCTCCACATATGTGAGTTAGTACATTTTGATGTAAATCTACATATGACCAACCTTTCTTCCTCCGGAATAATGAGATTACTTTCCTTTTCTTTTTTTTCTTTATCATATTCTGTTGTGTGGGCCGTAGGGTTTATTACATCTAAATCCTTTATAAAGTTTTGACATTATACCCTTACTCCCACTGCTTATATAGGCATCTGTAAACATTTTTAGTTTTGAGTCATCCGGGTCTATTTTAGTTTTAATATTTTTTTATAGGTATCTATAAAAATCAGATTTATCCAGGTTATATTCTTTCTTCACACTTTCAAAGTTTTTAAAAGGCCTCTCTCTGTGAGTGAGTAGAATGTTAATATTCCTTTAGAAATCCAGGATTTAAATCTATAGTCCATTTTATTTGGTTTAAATTGAGGGTCATACACCATTGAATTATTTGCAGTTTATCATTCAGTTTATATTCTTCTTTTATAATGTTCCAAATTTTTAATTGGGCTTTAATCCATAAATTTAGCTTTTTTTCTATGTATGCCCCCAGGTTTTTATGTGCCAATATCGCTTGTATTGGAGGATCATTTATTAGTGTAATTTCGATGTCTTTCCATTTAGCTTGATATGTTGGGTTACATAGTTTAACACGATATTTAGTCTGGGCTGCATAAAAGTAATCTTTAAAATAGGGTAAAGCCATTCCTCCTTGTTCCTTTGGAAGTTGTACTGTTTTTAATTTAATCCTTGTTTTTTCCCCTGTCAAATGAATCTACAAATGGTCTTATTGAATTCTGACCAATGTGTTTGGGGAATTTCTATTGTGAGAGCTTGAAATAAATCGAAATATAGAGGAAGGACATTCAGTTATTGCGTCAATTCTTTGATTAAAGCTCTGAAAGAAATGGCATTCCATTTGTGTATATCATTTTTAATATTTATTAGTAGAGGATCATAATTTACTTTTGCTAATGTTGAAATCTCTTTTGTTGAATGAATTCCTAAATATTTCAATGATTTCTGATCAGATTAAATTTAAAGGGTCTTTTTTTAATGGAATTTGAATCTGACATGTGGGAACATAGGGAACAAAACCTACAGTTTAGCTTAGCTAAGCATCGCCTTATAATTATGCAGAATTGTCCTAAATAGTCTGTGCATATCACTTCATCTTTTATACCTTGATGTTATAGCTTAATTTTCAACATTTTTAATCATCAAAGTGTCGCATGAAATTTTGTTTTCGTTGTGTAAAGTGAAAATATTCGACATCTGAGGTAATAAAAAACAATACAAGCAATTCTTTCTGGCCTTGACAAGTTCTTACTGTTGATGTATTCAGCTTCTATGACTACTGTATATGATCATTTTTGTTTTTTGCGTTAACATATGGTTGTTTTGTCTTATATAACTTTTAACATTTCAACCCATTTCCTGTTAGAATTAGTTTACAGTCATAGATAAAGATATACTAGAAGTAGAAACGCATGTACTGTAGTGGTTGGCCACCTGCACCAAAGGGCTGGTTTTCTCAGTAGAATCACTTTTTTAATACTCTCTATACCTTTGTATTCTTGTTTATGCTGATGTATTTGAATGTCTTTCCAGGATCAGACATTGGACACATAGAGATGATCGTGTCCGCTGAAGCTCCTCAGACCCACAGCACATCTGCAGAAGTCACAGTCAGCCTCTCACCAGAACATTATGTCTCACAGGTAGTGCTGTAGATAAACTTTATCATTGGCTGATGCAATTTAGCCTTGATTGAACTGTTTCCATATAGTATATAGCAGGGGCGGACTGGCCGTCTGGCAATTCTGGCAAATGCCAGAAGGGCCGGACCATTTTTTAAATGTGGGCCGGTCAGCTATTTAAATTTTTTTTTTTTCATATGTATTGTTTTTTTAAATGTAGGCAGCTTTTATCTCTTGCGAGATGTGAATATTATGGTGATGATGATGGTGATAATAGTAAGAATAATAGTAAATGTTAAGCATTGGCTCAATCTGCAACAACCGGCTGGTTTCGAGATTCGCCGACCCAATCTGAGGTTACGCAGACGTAATCAAAATCTGGCAAGAATGTCAAACAAACAGTAAGTGCAACCCAAGCTAATTGTCAGAGATGGACCATAAAAAGGGATAGGCAATCAAGTCAGACATTGCCAAATACATAAAATTTTACTGAACTAGTCTCGAAAGGGGGTAGTGCAGTGGCGCAGTAGGTAGTGCTGTCACCTCAAAGCAAGAAAGTCGCTGGTTTGAGCCTCATCTGGGTCAGTTGGTGTTTCTGTGTAGAGTTTGCATGTTCGCGTAGGTTTCCTTCTGGTTTCCTTCACAAGGCCAAACACATGCTATAGGTGAATTGGGTAGGCCAATTGGGAATTGGGTAACCCAGTAATGGGTTGCAGCTTTGAGGGCATCCACTGTGTAAAACATGCTGGATAAGTTGGCGATTCCCAGAATAATAAAGGGACTGAGCCGAAAAGAAAATGAATGACATGATTGCATATATAAATGGGTTGTTTTTGTTCCAGTCACATACATTAAATGTTTTAATATCTCTTAAATAAGTACTGCTTACATAATTTTACCATCTACACCAATATAGGTAGTGAATGTGTGTGTCCTTGGGTGGGGCTGTGTCGGAGTGGTAATGTGGGCTGGTGTGGCTACAATGCCAGGGCTGATTTTTAGTCCCACTCCGCTCCTGGTATATCGAACCAAAAATAAAGCGAAAGTAAAATTTGGCTTAAGCATTATTGTTTTTTCTAATATTAAAATTGTTTTGCATTGCTATATTATTTTCATGACAAGTTTGAACATTTCTTCTAAAAAAACTTTTTTTGCGCTAAAATATGATCCAGAAAAAATCTATACAGTTGAAGTTAGAATTATAAGCCCCCCTTTGAATGTTTTTTTTCTTTTTTTAATATTCCCAAATTATGTTTAACTGAGCAAGGAAATTTTCACAGTATGTCTGATAATATTTTTTCTTCTGGAGAAAGTTTTTTTGTTTTATTTCGGCTAGAATAAAAGCAGCTTTTAATTACTTACAGCATACGTCAAAACTATTAGCCCCTTTAAGCTATTTGTTCTTCTCGATTGTCTACTGAACAAACCATCATTGTACAATACATGGTTTTCGCTACATTCATTCTTCCATGGCGAGGCGCCACGCCAAAATTCATCCCGCCACAGCTACATGACAGCTTTCATTCAAAACATTTAGTTTTTTTTAATAGCGTGTAATAATCGCACCAAAACTTATTAAAGGGTAAGTGAATTATAATAGCGCAAACTTTTCTGTAACCGTAGTAGTGCTGTGCGTCATTTGTTTACCCTTAAAGGTGACATGCTGACTGTCTGACTGACAGGCTGACAGGTGCGTGATGCGTGAGGCCAGCAAACACGACATATAGCCGTTTCACTTTACTTCAGGACGCATTAATACTACTCTGTAGGTCTATTGTAGACATTGATAAATAATCCTAGCAAATCTGATAAACTAAATCGCACCCAGCAGCGTTTATTTGAGAGCGCACAAGAAGATCTGCGCGCTCTTGAAGCGACAAATATTTGAGGGGGCGTGCAAGAAGTTTTGTGCACAAGCAGAGAAAATCGGCGCGCAAACACAGAGATTCGCATGCTCGTAGTACATAAATGCGATCCCGACTTCTAATACTGCGCTCAAGACATTTGTCATTGAAATAATAACGCCACAGGTAGTAGGTAGATCTGTGTAAAAAAAAAAAGGCCTGCCGCCACAGCTGGAAAAAATCCTAAAGGAAACACTGCAATAACTTGCCTAATTCCCTTAACCTGCCTAGTTAACCTAATTAACCTTAATTAAGCCTTTAAATGTCACTTTAAGCTGTATAGAAGTGTCTTGAAAAATATCTAGTAAAACATTATTTACTGTCATCATGGCAAATAAAAAATAAATCAGTTATTAGAAATGAGTTACTAAACTATTATGTTTAGAAATGTGTTAAAAAAATCTTCTCATTAAAAAGAAATTGGGGAAAAAATAAACGGGGGTCTAGTAATTCTGACTTCAACTGTATATTATAATTTTTTTTTTTTATAAATTTGGTAATATAAAACTATACATTTTATCAATTTTAAAATTGCTATATATTTGCTATACATTTTTTACTTTTTTTTTTCTAATTTTAGTTCAATATTTTTTTTACAACAACAACATTTTAATATACATTGGAAGCATATGTTTTAAATCTTTGTAAAAAATAAAATATCACAATATGGATGGAATTGTCCCATTGTCATTGAGTAGACATTTATGTAAATTAAACATACATTTGAATAGTTTTGTATTGTTTTCTCTTTTTTATTTTTGTTCTGAAGTTAAAACTAAGACTAATAAAATAACCGTACAATTGTTGTTCATAACTTAGAATCTATTAAAATAATAAAAATTTTTATTATTTTGGAAATAACTAAAAACCAGCTGACAAATGAGCAAAAAAAAAAAAGATTAAATAATTAGAGGCTACAATGTAAATGGTTCTTCTTTTCTTGTCGAATTTAATTTAGGTACATATTTTAAAATTTAATGTCAAGCCCAAAATTTACTGATATATATATGTCAGAATTATTAGCCCCTGTTTATTTTTTTATGTTTGTTTAACGAAGAAAATATATTTTTCAACACATTTCGAAACATAATAGTTTTATTAACTGATTTATTTTTTCTTTGCCATAATGACCGTAAATAATATTTTACAAGATATTTTTCAAGACACTTCTATACAGCTTAAAGTGACATTTAAAGGCTTAACTAGGTTAATTAGGTCAACTAGACAGGTTAGGGTAATTAAGAAAGTTATTGTATAACGATGGTTTGTTTTGTAGACTATCGAAAAAAATAAGCTTAAAGGGGCTAATAATATTGACCTTAAAATGGTTCATGAAAAATTAAAAGCTGCTTTTATTCTTGCCGAAATAAAACAAATAAGACTTTCTCCTGAAGAAAAAAATATTATCAGACATACTGTGAAAATGTCCTTGCACTGTTAAACATCATTTAGGAAATATTAAAAAAATCTAAGGGGGGCTAATAATTCTGACTTTAACTGTCTATTATAACTTGAGGAAGGATTAAGCTAATAAATAACATTTTTGCCCTTTTTTTAGTTCAATCAGACACTTTACCCCACTCAGGCCTTCGAACATGAAGAAGTTGTTCAGACCAAAGGATGTGAAAGGTATGAGTGTCACTACTGTAAATGATGCTCTCATGTTCATTGCTAAATAGTGACTTCAACTAAGAAGTAGCTTCAAATGTTTCCTAACTCTTATTTTTATTTCAGTGTGAAATGGGAAAAATCAAAGCGGCCTTGCAACTGCACAAAATCTCAGTGTCTGAAACTGTAGGTATTTTCAACTTGAATGTTTTGCCATCAAACGTGACCTCAGCTGAATCTGTTATATTACCCAACATCTTGTTTACTCAACACAGTCATCTGTTTTGCACTCACTTTCTTCACGATGACTAATGCTTCTGTATAAAAAATATATTGGTCAACTGTGCTAAAAATAAATCAGCTTACACAAAACAATTTCTCTGACAGTTATTGTGAATGTTTTGCCAATGGAGAGTTCTGCAGCAGCTGTAAATGCACAAACTGCTTTAATAACACTGAACACGTCTTCGAGAGATCCCAGGCTGTAAAGGTGAACCACATCACAGTCACTTTCTAAAATACATCAACGCAAATAACTTCATGCCACTTATAAGCTTATTATACATCATATGTATTGCTCCTAGGCTTGTCTGGACAGGAATCCAGGGGCTTTTCGGCCTAAAATTGGCAGCAGGAAACAGGGGAATGTGAAAGGATGTCACACAAAAGGCTGTAACTGCAAACGTTCGGGCTGCTTAAAGAACTACTGCGAGTGTTATGAGGTAAATTGGGACGTTTATTATTATTATTATTATTATTATTATTATTATTATTATTCCTTTTCAGAATGAAAATACTGTAACTTTAGTGTTAGTACCAATTCTCACTATAACCTAGTGGTGTATTACCTGCTTTGTTATTAAAATATTGGCAGTTTATTAATACTAAAAGTCTTGTTGCCTAGAATTAGGTAAAACAAATAATAACTTGACTTCTAGTTGATCATTTGGTATCAGAAGGGGCTTATATGAGAAGCAAAGACCTCTAGATTATGCTTCTTTTACCAAAATAAAACATGATCATGTCTTGATTTTGAATTATTTACTTAGAACAAGAAGGTCTGACTTTGTTTAGACAGACGTCTTGTCACTTAACAGGATTAATGTACAGTAAAGAATATAAAGTCATGGTGCAGAGGAAAAATAATTAATATTTTGTCTCCCATGAGCTTGGAGGACTGTGTCCACTCTGCAATGAATCAAAAAACTTATTAATAAAGTCACCTGGAATGGCAAAGAAAGCATTCTTGCAGGACTCCCAGAGTTCATCAAGATTCTTTGGATTCATCTTCAATGCCTCCTCCTTCATCTTACCCCAGACATGCTCAATAATGGTCATGTCTGGTGACTGGGCTGGCCAATCCTGAAGCACCTTGACCTTTGCTTTCAGGAACTTTGATGTGGAGGCTGAAGTATGAGAAGGAGCTGTATCCTGCTGAAGAATTTGCCCTCTCTTGTGGTTTGTAATGTAATGGGCAGCACAGATGTCTTGATACCTCAGAATGTTGATGTTGCCATCCACTCTGCAGAAATCTCGCATGCCCCCATACTGAATAATTTTTTGTGAGAATCTTGGGGTCATGGAAAAATCTACCTTCTGCCACTTTTTTTAAATGATAAACTAGAAGTCAAGTTATTTGTTGCTCTTACAACTGGGATCCACAAGAAGACATTTGTCAGGTAGTGTATATTCTACATGATCTAAACCTTCCTGATATCTAACTAATAATAAGCACCAAATTAGAAGTTTATTCAGTCAAAAGTATTAGTTAAGAGCTTATTAATTGCGAGAATTGTAATAAAGTGGGACCAAAAATACATATAGAGACCAGGAAATACCTAAATTCTCAAATAGAAAGAGAAAAAAAAGTATTTACCCTGGAAACAACAACAAAAAAAAACAACAACTTTTATCTGAGTTTTTAATGAAAAAGATCATAACATGCAGTGTGTAAAGCATCAGTTCATTCTTTAACCATGAGTGACTTAAGTGGTTTATAAATTTTTTATTACATTTTTTTTACCAGTTGCCAGAAAAATTAACAATTTCTCATACTTATTTTTCCACCTGTATAAGGTAATATCTATTTATTTAAGCTTTATTATTCTTTATTATTCTTATTTGTGGGGTTTGTTTTCTGCATGCGTGGTTTTATTGTATTGTTTTTTTTTTCTTTTCTTTCACAGTCAACTTTTTCCTTTTTTAAGTTATTCAACCCCTCCCCGAATAAGCTCTGTAATCGGGGTTGGTAACGTAACTGGGGGCTCGTCCGGGATCAAAATAACATTGTTGCTTCTTGAGAGTTTTGTAGTAATTAACTCATTTATGTAAATTAAATTAGGATTTGTTAATAAATGGGGCGCATCCAGGATAAAAATGTCTTTATTAATTTATGTTGTTTTTCCCAGAGAGTCCTGTAGTAATTAACACATTTTCGTGAATTAAATTGGGGTTCGTAATATAAATGGGGGCTCGTCCGGGATGAAAATAATTGTAATAATTCTGATTGTTGTTTCTCGAGAGCTCTGCAGTAATCAACCATTTTTATTGTGAATTAAATTGTGGTTTGTAACATAAATAGGGGCTCGTCCAGGATTAAAATAACTATAATAATTCTGATTGTTGTTTCCAGAGAGTTCTGTAGTAATTAACACATTTTTGTGAATTAAATTGTGGTTTATAATATAAATGGGGGCTCGTGCAGGATAAAGATAGCGTTATTAATTATTGTTGTGAAAACAATGACTACCTCAAAAACAGCTCCCAAATTCCTTTTAATCTCTTGCCAGTATTGGTTATTTTAATTTACAGTTTGAGGAACTCCATTAAATACATTTTAATATTAGATGACTGAGCTTTACACACTGGTTTAATATTACAATCTATTTGAATCCTTACTTGAAGATTTGACTTTTATCAAGCTCATATTTTCCCATTAGCGGTGCTGGCATGATTTTGGTGTATATGTTCAGTGATTAATTTATGGTGTAATTCCATCCAGGCCAAAATCATGTGCACATCCACCTGTAAGTGTGTGGGCTGTAGAAACTATGATGAAGGCTGTGATATGAAGAAGAGCTCTGAGCAGGACAGGCATGACATCTACTTCCCCACCAGGTACAAAACAGTACAATAATAAATCATTTTGAATTGCTTACGGAAAATAGTCAAAGTGTGCTAAGAATTTCAAAGAAGACATTTTGGTGTTTGCATTAATATACATTTGCAAAAGCTATACATATATATATATATATGTGTGTGTGTGTAACATTTGGAGGTCATTAAAATGAATATAGGCTAAATTTACAATGTAAGTCAAATTAAAATAAATCACATTTAACCCTTTACCTCACAGGTGTCAAACTCGGTTCCAAAAGGGTCGCAGTTCTGCACAGTTTAGTTCCAACACTAATTAAACACACCTGATCAAACTAATTGAGTCCTTCAGGCTTGTTTGAAACCTACAAGTAAGTGTGTTGGAGCAGGGTTGGAACTAAACTGTGCAGGGCTTCGGCCCTCCAGGAATTGAGTTTGACACCCCTGCTCTACTTCATGCATTATAATAAATCTATTAAAATATACATTTGATTGTTTTTCTTTTCTTAAAATGGCTTAACTTGAAGTGCTGTAAAAAAATTTTTGGATTGTTTGTTATGGTACTTCTGTGAACAACGTCCAACAGTTCAGACTTTTGAACTCAAGCAATTTGCGTGAAACGTGCGTCAAACGCGCAAAACCCTTAATTCGCACCTCGCCATTCGCGCAATTTGTGTCATTCGCGGTGCGCCATTTGTGCGTGTCGTGCCGCAGGATGTCTGTTTGCGCGTTTGCATTGACTTAACATGTAAATCACTCGCGCTTGACACGCGTTCCACGTCTGGTGCGAACGCAGCCTGATTGGTCAACTTACATAATGTGCTGAAGTCAGCTCCATGTCACCAGGAAGCATCATGCTATAACATTACAGCACATCTGGCCATGCCCCTTCTGCGCAGGGTGAATGCTTGTAACCTGACGGGTTTATGACATCATTAAAAAGGATGTATTTTTTTGTAGTCACCAAACTTTGTTCACTGTAGGCTTTGCTAAGCTAACTCTGTATTAGCAAATGTCCCACTTTGTATTGAACTTAAGTGTCTTTCATTCAGAGATGTTGTTTGTGTTCACGCAGGTTCATTATACATCAACTACAGTTTAAAATATGATATCCTAGTGGACCACCCCTTTAAATTTGACCTCGGAAAAGGTGTAAGAACACTGTACCAATGAATGTAGCATACCACTGTCTACACCATTACATTAAGCAGCACAACTCTTGTCAAAATGACTCTTTATTTAAAGGAGTGGTTCTTGAGCAGCAGATCATCATATTAGGTTGACTTCTAAACAATCATGTGACACTGCAGACTGCAGTAATGATGCAGAAAATCCAGCATTGCATCCCAGAAGAAAATGTCATCTTAAAATACATTCACACAGAAAAGAGTTATTCTATATAGTAAAACATTTCACAACGCCGCAAGCACATACACGATTATTCTCACTAACAGCAGTAAGTTGAGCTGTCAGCGATGCGCCGACTATGTCATATCAATTACATTTAAACTGTCAAAATCGTTCAGGATAATTGCCAGGCAGATCATGTGAATCCAAAAGCCTTTCAGTGTCACTGTCAATGCAATTTTTTTCATACAAGATTTATTGCTATAAAACCTATATAAAATCTAAATTTGAAAAGAAAGATACTTTTTGTTTTTAATCAAACCATCCCTAACAAGTTCTGGTTATAGTAAAGTGTAAAGTTTAATGAAAGTTATATTAAATCACCACATTAACAAATGATCCATTGTTCTGTTGGGTTTTTGGAATTGGGATTTTGTCAAACTGCTCAATTTTGCCCTTTAAACAGTACTTAATTCATTCCCAACATATATAAGTAGAAATCATGTCCAAGCCATAGCTTACATGTATGTACAGGAGACTTTTTTTCCCTTCAAAAACAACATTCAATTCTTTGCTGTAATTCTTTGCTTGCCTGATAATGAGTGCATAAGTTCTGAAAATGCCAGAAGAAACGTGTCAGATTCTGCTGCAATTGCACCCTAAGGGGCCGTTCACATAGAATGCATCTTTTCCCCAATGCTCTGTTTTTCATTGTAAACATATGCTTGACTGATGTGTTTGACCGTTACGCTTGCGTATTTTTTAGCGATGTGCATGTGAGCACCATGTTTTAAAAAAAATAAAAATAATTTTTTTTTTCTAAGTTCTTGTGGATTTATTATTATCATTATTGGTTATTATGTGCCATCATGAAAACACATTTGTGTTTTTGGGTTTCAGTTTAGGAGGGAACGAGATTCTTTTCTCTCGCCGTTCCACGTAACTTCTTTATTTTCGTCTCTGAGAGGGAATGCTGTTCTAGTGGTAGATTTCTATAAAATACATTTTGAAAATAAAAAAACAAAACAAAAAAATAAATGAATAAAAACTTTTTAAATTTCAATTTTTCATGTGCCAAACTGTTCTAAAAGATTTTTAAAAAGAAGAGCGAGATCTGCTGTAAAAGATGACTGGATTGATTTTCATGTAAACAGTATTTCATGACCTTTAAAAAAAAAAAAAAAGATGGAGATCGATTATAGAAATCAGAGTTTGTAGTTCATACACAAGATAAGGTTTCAAATAAACTATCATTGTCTTTTCTCCATCGTCTTGTTACGTTTCATTCTCAAATGTGTCAAAATGATATGCAAATGTTTATTTTTGTCAAGATGAAATATGTGTCTGTGATGTCAGGTTAAAAGCTCTACTCATACTTGAAGTGAAGTTTATTCATAAACTAATTTCGAGTGGATCACATGCTTATGATTGCTTGCAGCTGGTCCCGCATTATTCAATTTATGATTCACCAATCAGACGATTCCTAAACCACTATAAATACTCTAAGTTCCATATAACAGCCATTTTCATTTTTAAGAATCCCCTTCCACTCCGACTCCTCCTCCTTTCCTAAATGGGTGGCTCGGTGGCCCAGTGGTTAGCACTGTTGCCTTAGAGCAAAAACGTCACTGGTTCTAGTCCTTACCAAGCCAGCTGGCATTTCTGTGCGTAGTTTACACATTCTCCCAGTGCTCACGTGTGTTTCCCCCCGGGGTTCCCCGGTTTCCTCCCTCCGTCCAAAAACATGCAACTTAAGTTAATTGACTAATCCAAATCGGCGCCATAGACATGCTCCTAGTAAGTAGTCATCTCTTAAGAGCAATCACTATCATTTCATTAGCTACTACAACAGGGGAGTTTCGAAATCTACCTGAGCTCAAACTCCCCTCTCACCCTGCAACAGGAGGGAGCCCTGGGCTCGAGGATCTTAAGAGCTCAGGGCTCTCACCCAGGACAGCATGCCAAACTAGCTTCATAGTCAATCATCAGCTAAGTGTGAACTCTTGAAATAACAATCAGACACTTTAACACTAAATAGCAATCAGATACTAACAGCAAGTCATTAGTATTTTAAAGTATTAGCTGTCCGAACATTGCACTTAAAAGCCGTTGATGTTTTTTTTCCTGATAAAGAATGAATGTATTTCTTTATCTGTCTAAATAGTACAAGATTATCCTACTTTAAGACATGTGAAATCAAATAAAAGTTATCTGAGGGCTGGGACACACCAATGCCAACTTTTCTATGCACACAGACAAAGCGTAAACAAATCGTTTAGTACCATTACCAGAGTAAATGTCACTAGCAAATATGTCTGATAATCTAATAATCCATATCATTTGCAAATATTTGAGAAATGTAGTGAAATTACAGCAAGCTTCTTTGTGTTCCTTCTTGAATTGTTTACTTGCTACATCTTTTCAATATTTGTTCTCACGGTCTGATTCGTTGCTGAATAACCAATTAGAGCGTTCTGTTCAACCGCAGATGATTCTTCATGCTGAATGAGGCCAACTTGAACCGACATTAACTATATGTATGTAAAATATGTAATCTGAGAAATTACATCTCTACAAATTTCATCTAATGATTATAATGATCTACCCAACGAATTACTTCAAAAGGCAAAATCTAGAATTAATGGGACGTTTGACTTTAAAAGCATTTCTTTGAACGCTCAGCTCACTGTAAAGCGAGCCGGATGCTACAGGCCTTTGCTTGTGTGCTGCTTTTGCTGCTTGTTTTTCAGATGGCAGTAATTGAGAGCTGTAGGGTTTTGTGTGTTGATAGGTGTCCTGTATCGGTCATCACGCGCGATGTAGTGGAAGCCACATGCGGCTGTCTGCTCGCCCAGGCTGAGGAGGCCCAGAAGGACGGCCACATCGCGGCTCACGCTGAGAGAATGATTTTGGAGGAGTTCGGCCAGTGCCTGACGCAGATCGTCCGCTCAATATTCAAATCCAGCCGCGTGCAATTCAATCTGTAGTTCAGGAACAAATGCTCGCTGGCACACATTGATCCAGGTGGGATTTTTAATCAGCTTTTTCAACAGGTGGTTCTGCTTTGGTGTGCTTGAAACGGTACGAGACGCTTGTAAAGATTTGCGTACACACTGTGTAACAGATAAGTTATTTAAATATGAATGATATATTGCTTTTGAACTATTATTTCGAATATATATGTTGTGTACCTTTATTTCTGTTGATTTAGACCACTTTTTATTTTCTATTTTTGTTAACATGTTATTTATGTATGTAATTATTCAAATTTTATTTTTTATATTTTAATTTTATTTTTACTATTATTTATTTGTTTGTTTGTTTATTTATTCATCTACACAGTTTGTATTGAACATTTTATTCAAATTTCTATACTTATTTATTTATTCATTCGTTTATTTGTTTATTTACTTATTTATTTATGCATTTTGTTTATTTATTCATCTACACAATTTGATATGACATTTTTTCTATTTCTGTACTTATTTATTTATTCGTCTAGTTGTTTATAAATGTATTTATTTATTTATTTATTTATTTATTTATTTATTTATTTATTTATCCACACAATTGAAACTGAACATTTCACTTATATTTCTATATTTAAATATTTGCATTTATTTATTTGTTTATTTATTTATCCAAATCATTTTAATTGAACAATTTATTTATATTTCTATACCTAAATGTTTGCATTTATTTATTCATTTATTTATTCATCCGTCCATCCACACAATTTAAATTAAACATTTTACTTATATTTCTATATTTAAATATTAGCATTTATTTATTTATTTGTTTGGTTGTTTATTTATCCACATAATTTTAAGTGAACATTTTATTTATATATCTGTACTTAAATATTTGCATTTATTTGTTTATTTATTTTTTTATTTATTCATCTGCACAATTTGAATTAACCTATTATTTATATTTCTATGTTTATATATTTATATTTCTATATTTCTAAATATTTGCATTTATTTATTAATTTATTTATTTAATTATTTTCCACACAATTTGAATGAAACTTTTTTCTGTTTTAATATTTGCTTTTATTTATTTGTTTATTTATTTTTTATTCATCCACACAATTGAACATTTTATTTATATTTCTATACTTAGATATTTGCATTTATTTTTTTGCTTTTGTTTCTATGTTAAGACCTTGTTATTTAAATATGAACAATATGTTATTTCTAACATTTAAACTATTGCTTATAATATAAATATATATTTCTTCCATTTATTTATGCTGATTCCGACCACTTCACGTTTGTGATTTTAATATTTGAAGCATTTATTTATATATTTGACATTCATTATTTATTATTTTAATTTATTGCCTTTTCCGCTGCACAATTGAACATTTGATTCATGTTTCTATGCATAAATATAAAGGCTATGTTGTTTAAATCTAAAATATGAGACCAAAAAAATATAGCAAAGTCCTTAACAAAACCACTTTTGTAATCAATTTGACCAGAAGCGATGTTTCCATATTTATTGCTTGTTCCTTGTTTTGGAATGTTTTTTAGTGTTCGTGTTGGGGATTTTATGTCTGCACTCAATACAGTTATTTCTGTGTGTTACAAATGCAGTGTGGCAATTTTATTTTTAATGGAGCTGTCACAATATTTATCCATCTGTGATTTATACTCTTTCCATACCATATTGACTTCCTTCATTCTACTCTTATATTCTTTTCTTTTTATTCACTTAACACCTACCAACCACTAAATTACTAAAAAAAAACTCATTACAGTAATTTCAGATACAACTTTGAGACTATTTCCAGAAAAAAACAAAAACAAAAACATCATGTGTATTTTTTTTCTTCTGGAGAAAACCTCACTGTATCGATCTTCATTACAGCAGATCCTCTTGACGTCAAGCTTTTGTGCAGGTTAATATGGAGAGCATTTCCATGATAGGACAAGGTACAAACAAGCGATGTTTCTCGCAGGGGGTTGTTATTGAATCCTGAGTCCTGTTGTTAAAGAAGGACATAAATAGAGGAGTAGACAACCGGACTCTTCACATTTGTTTAGTTCTTCCCATCAAAAACGATTCTTGATTCAACAAAAATGGTAAATTTACATATATACCTATTTTATTATACATTTATTTATAGTATTACAGATATATTATTAGCTGTTTTCTCTTTTCAGATATCAAGAGTGTGGATTTTATGGACACTTGTGTTATTTTTATTGGTGACAGAGTCTCATTGCATTCAAAAGGTATGTCTTATTTTATTTATTTATTTATTTTTGAAGTTTGTAGCATCTATTATAATCAAGTTCTTACTCATTTGTCTTTTATAGAGCTCGTTATCTAAAAACTGGGGACCACAATCCATGCTTTACTTAAAAGGAAAACGTGAGTTACGACTGACCTCCTCAATACACTTTAAGTAATCGAATTGATCGCCTGTTAAGAGTGTTTGTTTTGGCTAATGATCTTCAATTTGTTTCATTCTCTATTTTTTTGGGGTCTTTTTAGATGGAAGACGGTTTGTTCCTGACATTGATGATCATTTCATTTCCAATTCAGGGTTGAAAAGCTGGTACGCAGTTTTCAAAGGTGCGCTAATTTCGTTAATTGTTGAAGATACTAGTTTTTCATGTTGTGCTGTGTTGCTTAACCTCTATGATTGTGTTTTCTTTAAGGATTGCAAAAGCTGAAGTCGCCGAATGCAAGACAACTGACAGTATTTTTCACACCCCGTAATTTTGTTATCCGTTAGTTCGAAGGTTTATGTACAGTGTGACATATTTTGTACCGTTCAAGACTTCAAAATAAATCTATTTATGTCAAATATGTGTGGGAAAGGATGTTTGTGTCTGCTCTTTAATTTTTGTCGTAATCTGTGTTTTCACTGTTATGTGGTAGAGGGCGCTGTTGCGCATCTTCAAAATCCAAAAAACAAACAAAGACGCAATAAAAACACAAGTTAACGAAGTACTTAAACCATAAGTTAAACACATAAGTCAAATCTGCCTAAAGTGAATGAAATATCAAATGTACGAAGAGGTTTTTGATCTCGCAACTTATTGGAGTGTTAATGGTTTTGTTTTGATCATTATGTGATTTTTAGATTTTAGAACAGTGTTTTCCAACCCTGTTCTCTAAGGAATGCCAACAGTAGATATTTTGGATGTCTCCTTAATCTGACAAATTAACTAACGGTAAGAGGGCTGTGGTTAAGGTCTGTTTGAATCGGAAGTTGCTGAGACTTTTAATTTAGTATTTTGGTGTATTTCCAATTAAAACGGAATATTGTTTAGGGGCGGGGCTTTCTTTTGCTCATCATACACTCTTAGCAAACTAACGGTATAAGAGGGTCAGGGTTAAGAGTATTGCTATGCAGTTGCTATGGAAGCCATTAGGTTGATGCGAAAAGAGAAGGACCACCACTTTAAATGCGGAAGCAAACGCTCAGACTTTGAAGACAACCAAAACATTTTTTTTTCGGTGGATTAATTTGCATGGACTGTTAGTTTACCTAAAGAATAAAGGTCTTTGCACAGTGAGTTTTTAAAATTTGTATGTTTTTTTCGAATTCAAATCTGAAAAATTTGTCATCTGGCAAACATACAATAAACCACAAAACATTTGTGTTATACTATATAGTTTTTTTTTTCTGGAGCCAGATTAGACTCAAAAATAATACATTTACAAAATTAAATTCAAAAATGCGCAGCACAATTCACAATTTGTAAATTTGTAAAAAATTCAGGAATAAAAATCATAAAATTTTTCGCCAAATAAATTGGATTTGTGTATTTTGGAATCAGGTTTTAAATTTACGAATTGGATTTGTGTATTTATGAATCTTGTTTTGAATTACCCAATTGGATTTGTGTATTTTTAAATCATATTTTGAATTAACATATTGGATTTGTGTGTTTTCACATCATGTTTTGAATTTAAGAATTGGATTTGTGTATTTTCGGATCATGTTTTGAATTTACCCATTGAATATGTGTATTGTTAAATCATGTTTTAAATTCACAAATTGTGGATCTATGAATTGTATTTTGTAAATGTATTATTTTTGAGACTGATCTGGCTCCATATTCCGACGCCATTTTGCATTTTTGTTTGTATGCTGGCCCTGAATTGTCAAAACGCTTCACAAAAATGCCTTTTCGGATGCAAAAAAATAAAATAAATAAATAACATATATATATATATTTTATTTTTTATTTTTATTTTTTTAATGACGGATGAAGGTTTCGGATGCAGTCTGTCACAATTGACACAACGTGAGATTGAATTTATTTTTTACTTTTGAAACTTACGGACAAAAATTTGGGATTCAGTGTGCAAAAACCTTGATGTGCGCTAGGAAAATTAACAGTAAATTTTGATTTAATTAAGATTTTAAAGCAACAGCTCACCCAAACTTGACAAATTATCTGTTTATTTACTCACCTCAGGCCAACATTATTCGTCTTCAGTAGAACTATTGGCTCTTTGAGGGTCAAAAAAATAGGTACAGGCAAAACAAAACTAATACCTAGCTGCCGACTTTGAGGTCAAAGACACAAAATTGGCCGGTGCAAGAAACTAGCCGCTTGTTAAGTGTGACGTCACGTGTAGCAGCATCGGGGTACAAGCGCCATATCAAACTATATCAAATGGTAATAATAAACGTTTAGAAAGCGCTTTTGAAAATCACGATCGCAATATATAAATCCATGCCTTATATCAGATGGCCAGAAAGTCATTTGTTTTTATAAATTGTTAAAATATTGGTGTCTGTGATGTCATGTGCACCATGATTTTAAATGAAATTCACTTTAATGTGTGATATGACTAAAAATTGGTCATCACTTGGACCCGGATATAGTATTCCATACGTCACGACTTAAGTGGATCTTTTGTTTTTTAGGTGAACTATGCTTTTAAAGTCAACATGACACAACACTGAGATTTTTTCTGCCCTATTGTGACGCACATTAATGCCTTCTCAAGTGAGAAAACGTTGTGCGGGACCCAATTTTGTGTCTGAAATTGATTGGACGGTTGTGCATTGCTTTCAGTCGATCACATGTGATTGACAGTTTGATCCCGACCTGATCTTTAAAATGCATCGTCAACCCATATATTAGATTTAATATTGCCATAAAAAAGTGTTTATTCATATCAACTTCAGATTTTTTTTTATCGCTTTTAAAAGCTGCTTTTATTTGTTAACGTATAATGTAAAACATCCATAGTTGTTCTTATTTTATGCATTTACATTGGTTTCAGTTCCACATTTAGTTGCACTTTTCTCGATCAAAAGAGCTCTCTGTATGTGCATATATAGATTTAAGGCAGCAGATCGAGAAATTTCAGATGACCTCAAAAACCTCCAACAGCTGCAGAAGCTCAGATCAGATCATGTGAAGCAGACGTGAGGCTTGTCCAGAGAGCAATGGCTCCTTTCACTGCACTCACATGTTCACCGCAAACTGTACTGGAAAGATTCTATCACTACGTGCTATCTGTTGAACAGTGTGTGCCCATTTTTTATCTACAAACTTAATCTCTGGAAAGCAAGTGCATATTTCTGTCAAAAACGACTTCTCTTTTAAGGTCACATGCCTTCAATACATGCAATGCACATTCAGAGAGCTATAAAGTTAAAAGGGATAGTTCACCCCAAATATAACATTCGGTCATTGTTTAATTACCCTTCACTCGTTTAAACTTATATAAGAGACATCTGTTGAACACAAAGGAAGATTGTTGAGGAAAAACAGCGATTGACATACAGTATTTATACAGAATATCATTTTTTTGTGTTCAACAGAAGAAAATCATACAAGTTTAGACAGAATTTTTCAATTTTCGTTGCATAGCCTACTTAAAAACCTTCAAATGTGTATGCATTTTGGCTTTTTATTAATTTAAATTATTGGCAGAGACAAACATATGGGTACAAATGAAAAGATACTAACTCAAGCATAAAAACAATTAATTATATCACTGGGATAATGGGTTTTTTCAGCTTATAGGGACAGTCAGGAGCAGATTTAACCAATAATAGAGGTAAGCGTAACCCCCAATGAATACCTTCAAGTATAAATTATATCTATAAATTATATATATATATATATATACATATATATATATATATATATATATATATAAAACATTTTTGTTTCATGTATATTTTCTCTATTATTTAGTAAAGTTAAGCGTCTATTAAATAAGTGTATCATAATTATTAAGTCTTTGCAAATTTGTCCCCCACCTACCAATAATGCAGCATCTTAGCTGTCAAATCATATGAAGATACAGTTTTAAAAATGAAACAATAATTTTTTTATTTTTTTTCAGTCAGCAAAACAAACAAAATAAATTAATAAATACAGAGTGTATAGGACTTTTGGGCCCCATTCCTGGAATTGCTTAGATTCCCCAAATCACTAAATCCGCCCCTGGGAATAGCTCATCCTAAAATGTTAATTAATTTATTCACCTTTGCCCCATGGCCAGGGCCAGACGGAATCTGCGGACGTTTTTTGCTATTTTTGCGGAGAATTTTGGTAAAAATCTGCGGATTTCTGCAGAATTATTTTGTGAGTATCCAGCGGAGTATCATAACTAAAACCTTAATATATGAAATAAAAAATAATAAAAACTGAATAAATTCAGATTTACACATTTACGGAAGTAAATAAACAGAATTAATGATGGGCTAAACATCTGCAGAAATCTGCAGAATTCTGCGAAAAATCTGTGGAAAATCTGGGGAATTCTGCGCGCACAGATTCCGTGTGGGCCTACCCATGGCATCTGAAATTAATATATCTAGTAATACAATTAAGAAAATGTCTAGCTTTAACACATGGTCGTTTGTGGTTCATAAACAGAACTGGCAAAACAAATACTTCAAAACACCTCTGTACGTATAGTCTGGAGCTACGTATACCGGTATTGTAAGCCTACGTTTATTTACAGTGCATCCAGAAAGTATTCATAGCGCTTCACTTTTTCCTCATTTTTTTTTGTTACTGTCTTGTTCCAAATTGGATTAAATTCATTTATTTCCTCAAAATTCTACACATAATACCCCATAGGAATACTCCAGCAGGAACTGGAAGACTAGTCAGGATAAAGGGAAAGATGAAGTTTATCTTCCAGCAGGACAATGACCCAAAGCACATCGCCAAATATCAATGGAGTGGTTTCACAACAACTCGGTGAATGTCCTTGAGTGGCCCAGCCAGAGCCCAGAACTAATTCCTATTGAACATCTCTGGAGAGATCTGAAAATGGCTGTACACTGTCGCTTCCCATCCATCTCATCTGAGCTTGAGTGGTACTGCAAAGAGGAATGAGCAAAAATTCCCAAAGACAGCTGTGCCAAGCTTGAGGCATCATATTCAAAAGGACTTGAGGGCTGTAATTGCTGCCAAAGGTGCATCAACAAATTATTGAGCAAATATTTATGTACATGTGTATTTTTTTTTTGTTTTTTTTATAAATGTGCAACAATTTCAAAAACTCTTTTTCCACATTGTCATTATGGGATATTGTGTGTAAAACTTTGAGGAAATAAATAAATTTAATCCATTTTGGAATAAGGCTGTAACATTAAAAAATAAAGTGCTATGAATACTTTCTGTACGCACTGTATTATTTGCCCATATAGGCTATATACAGGGTAAGACTTAGGGATTTGGGGGCCATAAGCAATTCCAGGTGGGGCCCAAGCATTGAAACTCGAAACATTCTTTTTCTGTATAGATATATATATATTTCCTGTATTTTTTTATAGTAATATAAACTGCATGTTAAAATATATATTTAAGTGGAACTTTTATATTCTTATTGTAAATCACAAATAAAAAAAGGTTCACAAACTAACTTTATGTACAGTTAATGAGCCATATTTGTGGTTAGATTTTAATATTTACGTGCAGTACGTAAGTAACGTTCCACTGTTTATGAGGGCCACCGGTTTTGAAAATAAGTAATAACATTAAAATATTAATGGTTACAAACATTCATTCATTCATTTTCTTTTCGGCTTAGTCCCTTAATTAACCAGGGGTCGCCACAGCGGAATGAACCGCCAATTTTACAAAACATGATAGAAAATTTTTAAATGAGCTACATGAATAATTTAGGCAATTCTTGGCATTGTTTGGGGCGCACTAATTTTGCTTATTGGTTAAGGCCGCCACTGGCTCACATAGTATAGTTGTTGACTTAATGAACCTGCAAGTATTTTATTGTTTTTCATCATCTCTTTATCGTGATGTAGGCCTACTTTCCTCTTGGACAATGTCAATTAAGAGCATGTTAATTGAACACTTTTTTCCCCTTAAAAATGTAAGTTAAAAAACCTCACTGAAACAATTTTTTGCTCTTAAATTCAGTTGAATTATTTTTTTTATTTTTAAAGCGCTTTTACAATCTAGATTGTGTTTAGCTTATCATAGAAGTTCTAGTAAATTGAAATTGAAACTGTGTCAGTCCAGTTTTCAGAACTGAAGTTCAGTTTAATTCAGTTCAGTGTGGTCTAAATTTAACTGCTGAAAGTCCAAACACTAAAGAGCAAATCCATTGATGCGCAGCTCCACAAGTCCTCAAGTAAGCCAGCAGTGAAGAACAAAACTTCCCCAATTGACAAAGTGAATGAAAAAATCTAGAGAGGAACCATGCAGGCACAGTTGGGCACAACCTTTTCTCCTCTGGCCAAACTTAAATATATTTACACTGTGAATACAACGCTGCATTTTCAGCATAGTCATAATAGTGTCGTATGCCGACTCAGAGCTCAGTAAACAGCATTATCAAAGTGTAAAAATAGTTGTGCAGTTAAATTCATAACATTTTTCAGGACTCTGTTTTTTTCTTCAATGTAATGCGTTCTGCTGAATAAATCATCTGGCTCCATCTCCTGGTTCATTATTGGAGAGGCAGCAGGAACTCTGTGGTTAACCAAGATAAACAGTTCGCTGCAGAACAAGTTCAAAAGTGCACTCGCTTTCAAGACTGCATATTAAATCAAGTTGATTTGCTTTTGTGTCCATTTTTACGAGCGCAGAACTTGACGCAATTAACTAATAGCCTGTTATTTCTTTGCAACAGCATTAAAATAATCAAATACACTTACTGCTTATTGTCAAAATAGTATATAAAGTATTCAATAAAGTATAAATGTTTTCAGCTGTTTGGTGACTCAGTGGTTAGCGCTGTCGCCTCACAGCAAGAAGGTCGCTGGTTCGAGTCTTGGCTCTGCACTTCATACATTGGGGGGAATCTCCCCATGCACCACCAGTGTGCAGCATCCACCTGGATGACATGACGGCAGCCATATTGCACCAGACCACACATCAGCTGATTGGTGGAGAGATCACAGAGTGATCCAATTCTGATACAGGGATGAACAGAAGCCAGTGGGCAGATTTGGCCAGGATGTCAGGTTAAACATGCTGGGATTTTTAAAGACCACAGTTTAATGTCTCATCCGAAAGACAATGCTCACTGAGGACCCACACAGACCGCAGGTTTAGCGCCCCCTGATAGCTGTACTAATGCCACTTGGTCACTTGTCCAGGAACTGACCCGGCAGCCCTGCTTAGCTTCAGTGGGCCACCATGTGAGAGTTGCAGAGCTAGCTGTCGGATAATGTCAAACCACTTTTCTTTTCTTTTCTCCAAAAAGTATGTCATTATTTAAATATTATTTCATTTTCTGAAAAAAGAAAGCAATCAGAACTAGAAAATTAAAGTTCCTAGACAAACTTCACGGTGGCTTGAGAAAGCAGAGTCTGTAAGTTTGAAGTAGTTTCAAAGTTTAAAATAATTCAAGTAGTTTTAAGAAGTTTGAAACAGTTAGAAAAGTACATATGTTAGCATAGTTCTAGTATGAAATAGCATGTCGCTAGCATGTTACTATAGTATAAACTAGTATGTTGTTAGCATGAATAGTATGAATTAGCATGTTGCTATTATGATAGTATGTTTGTTGGGATGTATTTAGTGTAGATTAGTATTGACTGGTATGTGGATAGTATGTTTCTAGAATGTAATAGTTTATTGTTAGCATGAATTGGTATGTTATTGGTATGTCCAATGTAAAGTCAATGGCAGTTTTTTTTTTTTTTTTTACAATGGAAGTCTATGGGACAGTTGATAAGGTGCCGTAAGTGGTTGCTAGGGTGTTGCTAGTAAGTTGAAAGGACATCAGTGATTGGCAGATTGGTAGTCCGAGTTAAATGAGCCCAACATTAAGTGTGTGACAGTCTGGTGGAAAGTTGTGAGGTCATAAAGTTTGGTCCAATGTTGAGTCATTGGAACTTTTCTGAATTTTCCAGGTCAATTTTCAGAAAGATCAGTTGGAAAAGATTTAGCAACCCGAGACAGACCAGTTTGGAGATTTGGTGTTAATTTGGTGGTTGTAGTATGAACGCTCTAGTACACTGGTGTCAAACTCAGTTCCTGGAGGGCCGCAGCTCTGCACAGTTTAGTTCCAACCCTATAATTAAACACACCTGATCAAACTAATTGAGTCCTTCAGGCTTGTTTGAAACCTACAGGTAAGTGTGTTGGAGCAGGGTTGGAACTAAACTGTGCAGGGCTTCGGCCCTCCAGGAATTGAGTTTGACACCCCTGCTCTAGAAGGAGATGCATATAGAAGTTAGTTTTTAGAAGAAGACGGAAGAATGTATGTAACAAACAGTATGTTGGCTTTCTCAAGCCACCATAACTATTTCAATTGTAATGAGTTTAATTTATCTACTGTAATTAATTGAGGTTTATTTCATATGCTTTCCTTTTTTTCTTTCAATTTTTTTTTCATTGACAATGCAATTCATATTCTGTATTGTATACAAATATTTATTTAAAAATGCACTGTTTTATTTTTACAGAATTATATTTTTACAGACATGTTTGTTGTTGCTAATAAGTGCATACTAGCTTGGTCTGTTTATTGCATCAAAATATAATACATGTTTTGCTCTTGCTAAATTTGCGCTTTTCTAATTGTAAAATAACTAACTAAAAAAAAAAACTGCGCGTATGTAAAAATAAAAGCATGCAAAAAACAAATACACATTTTTTTCACCTTCTGCTTTCTGTGGCTTTCGCTTCCGTTTCAGAGCCTCGTAATATAAGCGCCTATAAATTTTGGAGACGTTTCGCAGTTTGCAGCCCAGTCCGACTGCAGGCACGAAAACACTCTCCATCTTGACAGCATCGGACGACCAATTAAACCCAGCGAGCTTATCATACTTGCTTCGGATTGGCAAACACACTCATTTCTTTTCTTTTTTCCCCCCTCAGCCTGTCCTTAAATAGGAACTTGGCAGGTGGACAAGAAAACTGCACAGCTCATTTCCAGCCCGCTCGAGCCACAGGCGTTTTTTGGACAATACTGTTCATAATCCAAAAAGAAAAACAGGACCATGTCCGGCTTCAATCGCTCTTTCACCCTCCTGAGGGCTGCTATGAGACACCAGCTCATCCCAAAAGCCAACATCACAGCTAAACCAGCTAAACATGCGCTTTCCGCTGGGGTAAGTATGAGTTGACTTTCAGGTAAACCAGTCGCTGCGCACTTTGACCAGCAGCTGAAGCGCGCGCACGTGTGTGATGGCCCGTCAGATATTAAAAGATAACATTTCTCGATTATACCTTCGTGTATTCATATATTTTGTTAGCTATATGTAAGCTCAAGCCTGTTATGAATTTATAATCACACTATAAATAAAGGTGCGACGAGACTAATCCTTTAATACAACGCCATTGATAGTATTTGCGCGCTCACGTATGCTCTGTGGAAATGGCGCGTGGGCTGGTTGTGTCAAATCGACATTTTTTAGCCAAAAATGGGAAGAAAGTCATTGTATTCTGTATAATGTAATACACTTGTTTAAAAAAAGTCCTACCTTATTAGTCGTTTCTGGAAACGTGCCAGTTTTATGACCTTGAGGGACAAATAAAGTTATTCTGTTGGGAAATACAGCTTATGACTGGTTTTAGCTGACTAGGCAATTCGATTAGTAATATATAACCAGATAACTATATGATATAAACATAATTAAATACCGGTTAAATGCTCGTCCATTGTGGCTTGCTAGTATCACACGCCAGCTAAGTTACCAAATCTACACTCATAAATACTTGAGTTCGATTTTACTCTCTAACTATTGAAATCTGCACTTGGCCCAAATATGTCTTATATTATCGAAGGGCAAAGACACTCAACATTCATTTTGTGTTTTGCAAAGCTAGCCTAAATTAGTCGAAAAAGGTTGTTTACTGCCTGGTCTATTATTTCTATCAGCATGGAGCAGAACTAACTATATCATGTCTCAAAACAAATACCTCAGTTTTGTTTATTCACTTGGAAAGCTGTATTTGATTTTGACTGCTAAATAGTGCTGGTGTTAGCTGTTAGTCCAAGAAAAGGCCATTTTTATCCAAGGTTATCATACCGTCTGAAACATATACCGACCCATGCTAGAAGCATTGACTAGATGTAAATCCCAAACACCTCAGATGCATTTCATTTTCCAAAGGTGAAAAAAAGAGCTTTTTTTTGCTACAAAGATTAAGAGCACTTTTTTATTTATTTTTTTAGCTGGTGTAAGTTCTTAAAATGTTTCCAACACAAGCTAACATAGACTACTTCAGACCGTCTATAAACCTAATACCATATCTCCAAAAACCAAACAGCTGGGTAAATAATGTCTACAAATTCTGGCTGGGCGATTAATTGAAAAGTAATCGAAATCAACATTCAGGACTTATAATCGATCAAATTTTCCAGGTCAAATACTTTGCCTACCGCATGTGAAGTCACCTGACCCCGCTCTGTTAAGGCTGATTTATACTTCTGCATTGAACTCATGAGTATGGTCCAGTGCACCTCTTTAAAAATGTCGTGCACATTCGCACTAAAATGACTGGAAGCTGTGGCAGTGTTGCCTTAAGGCGAGATATTTTCTACTACAAAATAATTACTTCTATAGTGAAAATAATTACCTTTATTTCCAAAAGTGCAAGTTATTTATTTTCACTTTTTTATCAGAAAAAATGACTGTTGGTTTTAGGCAATGTGTGTTTTACTGTGTGTTCAACGTTGATGTTCAATCAATAATGATAGTAGATAGTGTGCGTTTCAATTATTTTGAAATCAAGTAATACACCCTTCGTTCAAAAATCTCTCACTTAATTGTAATATGTGAAAATATTTACTGTACAAAACCTCTCAGGTAACTATGAAGGCAAAAAATAAAAACAAAATAATTGTTCATTTATCGTAATAGAGTTAAAATAGTCAGCTAATCAAGATTTAGATTTTAGGCCAAATCACCCAGCCCTATTAATAGTCCAACTAATATCACCTTAAAAAAGATAGTTCAACCAACAATAAAGGAAAATTCCATTTGTCGTCACCCTCAAGTGTTTCCAAACCTTTATTAGAGATTTCTTCTGTTGAACACAAAAGAAGATATTTTGTAGAATGTTATAACCCGGTATATTTTGACATATTTTTGACATTGAATTTTCTTTTTAATTATTTCCTAAATGATGTTTAACAGAGCAAGGGAATTTTCACAGTATGTCTGATAATATATTTTTTTTCTGGAAAAAGTCTTATTTGTTTTATTTCGGCTAGAATAAAAGCTGTTTCAATTTTTTTTTAAAAAATGAAGGAGAAAATGATTAGCTCCTTTAAGCTATATAATTTTTTCGATAGTCTACAGAAGTAACTATAGTTATTTAATAACTTGCCTAATTAACCAAACCTGCCCAGTTAACCTAGTTAAGCCTTTAAATGTCACTTCATTAAACAGATATTGGGGGGAAAAAAAACGGAAGGGCTAATAATTCTGACTTCAACTGTACATGGTAGGGAAAACAAATATGGAAATCAATGGCTACCAGTTTCCAAACTCCTTTCCAAATTGTGTTCAACAAAAATAAAAGAAAGTTAAACAGGTTTGGAACAAGTAAAAAGTAAGTAAATAATGACAGAAATGTTTGTTTTGGGGTGAACTATCCCTTCAACAGTCTCTAACACAAAGGCATCTATTGTTTTTTTTATCCATCCAAGCTAAATAGTTAGAAACACTAGTTTATTACCAGTCTGTGGTGGTCTACTAGCCTGGACCTAGTTAAAATCAACATAAAAGCCTTTTTTTCACCTGGGAAAAGCAACATTTCTCTAAATCTCTAAGGGAAAAGGCACCAAAAATATAAGCAACGCAAGTTCAGCACTTGGGAAAATAGGTTTGGATTGAGTACTATGACGAAAAATCTCCCACAAATAATAATTGAACAGCTCATGAATGTGTTTGTTTTTGATGCAGGAGCAAGTGATTGCATTGTCGGTCATGTTTGTGACCATCCTGGGCCCGTCCGGCTGGATCCTGTCTCACCTGGAGGACTACAAGCACCGTCCAGGAGCAGCACAAGAATAAAAAATGAGCATTCCCTCCTTAAGAAGACTATTTAAACCTCTGAATGTTTGAATAAATGAATGTACTTGAACTGGTCTGTATCCATTAAAATATTTCTCTTTAAACAGACAACGCATGCTGTGCTTTATATTCGTTGGGAGAGGATTATATGGCAACCAAACTGAGGGACAAACAACGCTGAAAGTAAATAAATGAACGTGTAAATACAGTGCTCAGCAAACCTGAGTACACCCCATTTTGAAAATGAATATTTTTATCCATTTCTCAGTGAATATAGGGATGTATTTTGGTGCATTTAAACAAAACTGATTTATTAAAGAGATATATTTATTACAATATTATTTTAGTCACCAAACATATTTAGAAATAGAAAGATAATACAATTAAATTCAAGCTAATTATTGCAAAAAAAAAAACAAAAAAAAACTTTAAAATTTCAACTAAATTTTTTTGCTTCTCTTTTTTTAAAATTTGTATTTAATATATTTCTATTACATATAAATTTGGCTGTACTAGTTTTTGGACTTTTATCGTAACAGTTTTTGTTAGATAAGCTCCAGTTTTGGCTTCAGTACTGACTAATCTAATGAATATGCACAAATATAATATCATATAGCTTCCTATTAAAACATGAATTTAAAAGAGAGATTTGTGAGGGTGTACTTATATATGCTGATATCAACTACACATTAGACCATAAAAGACTACATTAAACCATGTTTTTGTTATCAAAATGATCATAAGATTTAAAAAAAATTATTAAAATATAATCTCCCGCGGTTGTGAGAGCGCCGAATCCTAACCACTAAACCACCAGTGTTTGTCAATTTTGTGTTAACGATATACTTATAGTTATATAAATATTAATAAAAATATATATTAAAAAAAAAGTAATTATCTAACTATGCAAATCTAATCATGATCAGAAAAGAACTGTAAAAAAAAAGAAAATAATAAAAAAAATCCCACAAACAAATATATGAAGAGTTCAGATGCAAAAACCCTTGAAAGCCTGAAATTTCCATAGAAAATGAGCATTTTACTTTAAGCCTCCTTTGTTTATGAGTTATTTCGCTTTGAAGACCATAAAAGTAACATTCTTTGTCATGAAAGTGAAATTATTGAACCTACACACAGGAGCCTAATTAAAATGATCGTTTTTGAAGAAATTTTCAGACGGCATTTAGAGGTTTTTGCATCTGAACTCTTTTAGATATATATATATTTATATAATTACTTTATTAAACTTTGATCTACAAATGTTGTCATTAAAAAGTTTAACAAATTGACTTTTTTGTAAGTTTAAAACAATATTGTCTGTGTTTATGTAATTTATGGTATTAAAAACTTGACACTATACGGTTTCAAATGAAGAAGTCACTGTTAAAGGAATTACATTTTCAACATCGAATGTGAAAGCAAAGAATTATAATAACTTCTACAATGGAAAAAAATGTAAAAACTACAATAAATATTTAGTCAATTTAACTAAAAAAGGCAAATATTAAACATTTAATATAAATTTTAAGAAAATATTATGAAAAATTATTTTATGATATAATAAAATGTTAAAGTATTTAGCGGATAATAAAATCGTAAGTTAAAATGACTGAAATTAAGACAAATTCTGAGCAAATATAAAAAACATTTCGTTTGAAATATGAATAATATGAATGTAATAATAACATATAATATAAACAGACGCCCTAATGTTTCTGACACAATGAAACAAGATGAATCATAATCTGCTAAACACAACAGCTGAAATCAAGATAGAATAGAAATTTTAAATACAAAAGTGCGGCTTTAGAAAGAGTTTTATTTTAATATATTACACCTATAGAGAAACAAGCCGGCTTAGTCTTGGTGTAGAAGGATTCTGGGCTGTTGTTTTGTTATGCTTGTCCATTGTTTGAGGACAGGAAATGTCAGTGTGGGAGTGGAAATAACAGCAGTATGAATTAGAGTTTAACAATGGAAATTTGCTAAATAAAATACTGTATAACCAGATATTCTGGACATATCTACACTCACTGGGCACTTTATTAGGTACAGTATTAGGCACTGTATACCTTACTAGTACCAGGTTGGACCCCCTTTTGCCTTCAGAACTACCTTAATCCTTCGTGGCATAGATTCAACAAGGTATTGGTAAAATTCCTCAGAGATTTTGGTCCATATTGACATGACAGCATCATACAGTTGCTGCAGATTTGTCGGCTGCACATCCATGATGTGAATCTCCCATTCCATTACATCCCTAAGATACTCTATTAGATTGAGCTCTGGTGACTGTGGAGGCCATTTGAGTACTGTGTCAAGATCAAGAAACCAGTCTGAGATGATTCGTGCTTTAATAAATGTCTTGTTTAGTCACTGAAATCACCTTTATTCCTCATTCTGATGATCAATTTGAACTGAAATATATCGAATTGGCCATGTCTGCATGCCTTAATGCATTGAGTTGCTGCTACGGGACTTGCCTAATAAAGTGGCCAGTGAGTGTATAATACACAGATGTCTTGATCATCATTTTACTGAGGAAAAAGAACACGTTCTACCTTAAAATAAGTAAATAAATTAAAGAATTTACCAATTAAAAGGCTTTTAGTTTTCAGTACAAAAAAAATAAAATCAAGATACATTTGCTGTAGGCGTAAAATGACTAACCTTACGTGTGTGTAAATGTAATCTTTTGTAGCTTAAAATTACTTAAACATTTGTTTATTAACCTATAAAATATCTAAAAAGTTTCTGTAAATTAAAAAAGATTTTTTTGACATGTTTTAAATAAGACAAATTAATCCTAAAATAAAAATAATTAGTAAAAAAAATATATATATAATGAACAATTTTAACCAAATATCTACATTAATATAATTTTTTAAATTAAATTTGCCAATTTGTGTCTCATGTAAAGTGACTTAAAAAAAGAAATGTTTTCATTGTTTAAATGAGTAGAAAAAAGGTCACTTGCTTTACTGTGTCGTCATTTACTCACCTCATGTTGATCTAAACAGTGTGATGTAATGAATACACACTCGTTAAATGCTGTACATAAAGCCCAGAAGAGTGATTGTGAAAACGAGGAACTTTAATGACAGAATGCAGATACACAGAGAAGAAGTGAGGGACTCTTGGAAGGTCAGCTGTGTTTGTTTAGGTGAGGATGTCCTGCGCCCGCTGCTCCACCAACACTGCCATGTTCTTCACGTCTCCACACCAGAAGTCCAGACGGTCCTTCATGCCCTTAATCTGGGCAAAAGAAAGCACAAAAACAAACACACACACAAACAAACAAACAAACAAACACACACAGATTACAGGTTAGACACTTTCTGTTCTTAAACAAAATTATAGAGACAAATGTTTTTATTAAATGCAGGTTTCTTCAAAAGCTACAGGAGACCGAAACTCTAAATGTTTTCAATAAATAAATAAATAAATAAATGGGGAATTTAAAGACTATAAAAATTGCATTAATTTACATAAAACTTTATGTAATGAGATGCAATGAGTTCTCAGAACAAAAATGTCATAAGTGTTTATTGGCTTGTGTTTAATCAGTATAAATTTAGTTACATTTAAATCATCTTACAAAATTGGTTAGTAATAGTTATTTATTATTTCATGAAATATTATGAAGAATTATTGGTCTTAGACTAAGCAATCAAAATCTTAAATGTTCAGTTTCGGCCCAGAATTTTTATGTCTGATTTTCAGAAACAAAATTCTATACAAATTCTGATTTCTCAGCATATACAGTTAAAGTCAGAATTATTAGCCCCCCAGTTTATTTTCCCCCCAAATTCTGTTTAATGGAGAGCAGATTTTTTTTAACACATTTCTGAACATAATAGTTTTAATAACTCATCTCTAATAACTGATTTATTTTATCTTTGCTATGATGACAGTAAACAATATTTAACTAGATATTATTAAAGACACTTCTATACAGCTTAAAGTGACATTTAAAGGCTTAACTAGGTTAAAAGGGGTCTAACTAAGCAGGTTAGGGTAATTAGGCAAGTTATTGTATATTAATGGTTTGTTTTATAGACAGTGGAAAAAAATATATAGATTAAAGGAGCTAATAATTCTGAGCTTAAAATTTATATAAAAAATAAAATATTAAAAACTGCTTTTGTTCTAGCCGAAAAAAACAAACAAACTTTCTCCAGAAGAAAAAATATTACCAGACATACTGTGAAAATTTCCATCCATAAATGTGAATGAACCTTATGCGCAAATCTGTATATCGCATAAAAGATGTGTGAATAAAGCAGCGTCTTCATTTCAAAGTCAAAGCAAACAAAATTGTCACTTGATTAACTGGCGGCAAATATTAACAGTGAAAAACTGAATTTACTGCTTTAAGAGAAGCTGTGTGAATCTTTTTATTTAATAAATGAGATAGCATTCCTGACATGCAGTGAAAGAGCGGTGGCATTTGAATGCATGAGACGCGGAACAGACGCTCTTAATTCTGGAAGTCATTAATAATATAATAACACTAATACTGAAACGGTTAAAGGCATTTTAGAATGACCAAAACAACATTTCAGATGTTTTACAATGTGCTCAGCCTGCTGGTTTCTCCATTTTCATCATCACATGATCTCTTATAATAAAATCACATGACCTTTTTTAATGTTCATCGTGAAATTTGTTCGGTAAAAGTGTTTCAATCGCAGTTTATCTGCATCTTTTCACATCAAATAAAAAGTTTCTCCTACTAAGTTATGCGTGTACATTTTCTTTGCTCTTTTTTTAAATTGTATGCGTATCTTGGCGTTTCCATCAACCAATTTTTTATGCGCATATACAAAATGCACATAAAAATAGGTAGATGGAAACATAGCTAATGTATTTAATGTTTATATATTTGTTAACCAAAAAATATTTCCAGTACATATTGTAGTGAAAGGAGTAAAACAAATGATGTAAATAAAAATGTATATTAACAATAACACAACACATAAATATTATGAATACTATAAATTTATAAGCAGGTTAATAAGTAAACCTAAACTAAAAGAATAAAATAAAAATACAACAAACAAAAAAGTTTAGATATTTAATTATCACCTACTTAAAACTATAAAAAACAACTAATTAAACTAATAATAAAATGAACGTGAAAACAGAAATTAAAAAAAAAAACGAATACAAATTAACAAAAAAACAAAGTATAAATTAACAAGTCTTTCATTTTAACTAAAAAATACAAAAAAACAAAAAGCGTTTACATATTTTTATTAATTATCACCTACTAAAAATTCAAAAGCAAAGTTAAAACTACACTAACATTTGCACAGAAAATACAACTACTTATCAAACTATTAATACAATTAACATGACAACAAAAATTTAATAAATCAAACAAAAAACTAATCTGTTAATAAACTTACCTGCTGTACGTCCAGCACTCGGGGCTGAACCCAAGTCATGTGAACCTTCTTCTCAACCTCGTCGATACTTCCCTTAATCAGTCCCACAGAAAGAGCCTTCATCACCAGTAGCTCCACCTGAACACACACACACACACACACACACACACACAGCAGATCAAGACTTTACACACTCCAACTCACATCTTCTATGCACACAAACACACGCACGCGCACACACACACACACACACACACACACACACACACACACACACACACACACACCTCGTTGACTTGGATTTTGGCGCTCTGTGCGATTTCCTGGAAACTCAGCTGTCTGTTATTGGCCGGCCGAGTGAAGGTCATCTGTGAAGAAGACAACCAATCAGCAACTGAATTATGAGTTACTCAAAGTAGTGCCTCTTAAAGAGATCGTTCATCCTAAAATAAAATGTCATCTTCATTTATTCACCCTTAAGCTGGAGCACCACATCACTTGCTCTAGTTTACTCACAGGATGTTTTTCACCAAATGGAGCCAAATTACTGCTGTGCGGTGCGAAGGTAAAAGAATTCGAGATACTTTTGCCATAAAAATGTGAAACTTGCCTCAAATACCTGAACTCACTCTTCATCATCCGCATCAAGCAGCAATAAATCGCCTCTATTTGCAGGTTGTGTTGACTTTATGTAATTGACTTTGGTTTGGCGTGTATACATCTCTTGCTCTACCTCAGAATTGTTTACTCCCCTCACCCTACCCCCCTCATTCACTATTTTTATTTATTTATTTATTTATCATCTTACATCTTGTATACATCTCTCATTCAACCTCAGAACTGTTTACTCGACCCCCCCAACCCCTCAGAGTGCTCTTGACCTCAGACTGGGGCGACGGTTCATCTTCCAGCAGGACAATGACCCAAAGCACACCTCCAAATTATCAATGGAGTGGCTTCACAACAACTCGGTGAATGTCCTTGAGTGGCCCAGCCAGAGCCCAGACCTAAATCCTATTGAACATCTGGAGAGATCTGACAATGGCTGTGCACCATTGCTTCCCATTCAACCTGATAGAGCTTGAGAGGTGCTGCCAAGAGGAATGGGCAATAATTCCCAAAGACACATGTGCCAAGTTTGTGGCATCATATTCAAAAAGACTTGAGGCTGTAATTGACGCCAAAGATGCATCAACAAAGTATTGAGCAAAGGCTGTGAATGTTTATGTACATGTGATCTTTCAGGTTTTTTTTTTTTAAATAAATTTGCAACAATTAAAAAAAAAACGTTCCACATTGTCATTATGGTGTTTTGTGTGTAGAATTCTGAGGAAATAAATTAATGTAATCTATTTTGGAATAAGGCTGTAACATAAAAAAAATGTGGAAAAAGTGAAGCGCTATGAATACTTTCCGAATGCACTGTACTGTATACACTATGTTATACAGTAATACATATAATCTATTCTAACCCAGCACCAGACCACACAAGATGGCGGTGACGCTATCGCTTCAGTTGAACTATTAAAGTAGAGTTTTAGCTGAAATTGTGGTACTTGGTGATTCAAAACAAGCAAAGCAACATCTAATTTGTGTGCCAAAAAAATTAAAACAAAAAAACTGATGGCAAAAACCCAGATTTTCCCATGTGATTGTCAAATTTGAGATTTTTTACTTGGTGTAATGTCAAGAAAACATTAAAAATAGAATCTCAAGCATTTGTTTTAAACACTTAAGCACATTTAAAAACTTTTTGAGAAGAGATTTTGATTATAATACATATTATATTATTCATAATAAAACTTACAACAAATTTCAGTTTTACTAGTGATCTCGTTTGGTGGTTTTTTTTCAGAGTGATATGTTCAATGCATAATTATCCTGATTATATACATTTTATTGTACAAAAAAGTAACTGCGTATTTTTTCTGAAGTATGGAATGATAAAAATAGTTTCACAAAATCCTCTCTGTAAAAACATTTGACCCTAACATACCAAAAGCAAAAAGAAACAAGACTTTTAAACTAGACTTCAGATTTTTTGTGCAATAAATGTATGCAAATGAGTGCATATTTCATGAAAGAATGCCTCATTTGCATATCTAAACATACATTATTTTAAAATCTTGTAATACAAAAAAAACGGTCTGCCATTCTTAATGTAACTTGGGAAATATGTTGATGAATACCAGATTTTTACCCTGTTTACCTGCAGTGTTTCCATAATAATACATTGATGGGTTGTAAATAATGTTCAATGTATTATCAGGAGTCAGGATGCCTGTTGGCTTTTTTTTAGTCTTAAAGTGCTGGTAGTCATTGAAAATCCTCTTTAAATATCCCACTTAAGAAATTAATTTAATTCACTGAGATCTTGGATGGCCTGAGGGCGAGTACATTGTTTGATGTACAGTCCCTACCCTGCTGTGGCGCCCTCTGAAATAGACTAAGCTACAGGAAAATGGATGAATGAATGAACCTGCTCAGAATACTAGCACAGAAACAGTAGCGTTTACCTCCATGACACACAGTAACTGGATCTTCTGCATGAGTTTGGCCTCTTGAGCTGCGAGATCGGGCTTTTTGAGGGAAAACAAAAATGAAATCGGTTTAAATAGTGCATTAATTAGTACCACTGTGAAAATAAAGAAAGAAAAAGACTGTTTTTGGTTTGTGTGGAAGATGATCTGCAGACCTGTTGGCCCCACGCCGTCTTGAGGGCTTGAAATTTCTCCACATTGCCGGCATTGAATGCGAAGAGTGTGTCGATCAGCCACTGTTTATCTGTGTTTCTGAGTGACTCCAGCACCGGGTGCATCAGCTGTGAACATCAGAGTAATACCATAGTACATTATTAGGAGAATTGACAAGAAATCATTGTGAGAAGAGAGAGGGGCAAAGGACCTTGAGAGTGGAATCAAACTCGGGTCGCCCTGAGCATTTTGGTGCTATATGTTGGCAAACTTAAACACTAGGCTGTTGGCACCGAAAGCTTTTGTTTTTAAGTGTATCAACATTGTTACGGCTCAGTATATGTGCCTGTGTTTGTTTGTTTTTCCTCCCTCTTTCTCTTCCTATCATTTCTTAAAGTCTGCCCAGTTCACCTCCCCATTGGCTAAGCTAGATGCCAGTCATCATTACCACTACAATGACGTCATGAAGCTCATATGCAGGTTTATTTTACATTCTTTGGCAGAAACATATTTGAGCCTCTCGCTAGATCCTCCTATATGGGCGTGGAGGACATTAATTTGGACAACTATGCGGATATATTAAATTGCTGGGTAATGCTTTATTTTGATGGTCCATTTGAGTATTAGTAGACTGTCTGCTTATTATCTGCTGATGCTGCTCCTTCAACAGACATTTAACGGACTACAAGAAACTTTGCAAGTACGTCAACTTACACCCTAACCCTAACTTAAACCCTAACCCCAATCTAACAGTCTACTTATAATCTAATGAGAATTAGTTGACATGTAGATGCAATGTAACTTAAATCAACAAACGGACCATCAAAATAAAGTGACTAATAGTTCACACAAAGATACACAGAGAGGCGTTCACTTTCACGCATAGTTTGTGAATGAACAGACTGATGTGCACTAGCTGCAGACACGATCATGAGGTTTTAAGTAATCAAACAGAGAACAAGAGAAAGTGCATTACTACAATAATTTTAATATAGCATATTAATAAAGAAACCCAAAAATTTTATTGTATAATATTAAAGTTAATTCTAATCTCGCGTCCCACCTTCAGGATCACTGAGAATCACTCAGAATCACTAGGCCGAGGCCCACCGGTTAGGAATCCCTGTTATAAAGTCTCTCCAGATAAAAATCACTGTCTGACAACATTAAAAATAGGTCACTCCAAGAGTACATGTTTCTGAAGCAGATTAAATTAAACAGCTTCATTGGTAAAAATAGTAGAAAAATGAATAAGATACCTGAAATTATCCCAAGAAATAAAACTCAAATAAAACAAAGCACATTTAAAAATACACAACAAAAATAAGTGTGTATTTTCATAAAATCCAAAAATAAAATAAAGCCTAAAACATTTAAAATGTAAATAAATTCTATAATAGTATAACACAGTAAAAAAATACAGACACCCACCAGTTCGCCAAAGTTATAAACTCCTTCCCCGAGCAGACCAGCCAGACCTAACGTGAAAGCTCTCTCCTGCTGCTCTGCTTCTGTTGTGAGAAAACCACAAAAACGCGAGTGAAAAAGTAAACCTCAATTCTCATTTATACCTGTGGATGTGTGGATGCAACACTAGATGGCGCTGTTGCTCCTGCAAGAATCCTGTGGTGAAAGTGTAAACATCAGCCATCATTATATTTACCTGGCAAGTCTTTAGCTTCCACACAGCCCAGGTATCGCAGGGCGTCCTTGTAGTATAAAGCGTGGTTCCCAATGATGCGGTAATACTTGCTGGACAGGTCGTAAAATCGACCGTGCACTGACGTCACACCCGGGAGATTGTTCAGCATCTCTTCCACTTCTTCTATTAATTTCTGGAGAATGGGCATTATTCGTGGGTTAGATTTGAACAGGTTATGATTAATGTTAGTATAATAATGATCCTAACAATTTGTGAGTGAATTTTGTTTTCTCGTTTTTTGGTGATTATTTATTTCGTGAGCAGGTCATGCTGATTTTTATGTTTTTTTTTTTTTTTTACAAATAAAAATATTTAAATGTGAATTTTTTTTTTTTTAATTATAAAAAAGTATTTTCAAATTTTGGGGGCGATTTTTTTTTGGCCTGAATTATTATTAGGATTATTAGTTACACACTGAACATGAAAATGCAAGTGAAAATATCAGATTTGGTGTTCAAAGACATTAAATAAGAACATGTATGAGCCTTCCAAAAATGAAAACATGCCAATGACTGACCTTTGTTGCCGGGAGATCGCTGATGTCGAGTTTGAGGCTGCCAATGGACGTTTTGCAGAGAATAACAGCTTCATCACTCGCTTTAACCTGATTGGGCAAAAAATAACAAAACAATGACTTCAGTGGATAAACAACCAGGCTATAAACTCAACCACATGAGGAAAAACGCAACACCTTCTCCTTTGTTTTCTCCAGGAAGGTGATGGCTGTATTCGGATCTGTTTAAAACAAAGAAAACATTAGAACTTTCAATAGCAAGCAATATTATTGTTGACTTGTTAATAGACAATGATGTACCTTGCATTTGCCTTGCAACATGAAGGATGATTTCTACTAAGGACAATGGGTTGATTCTGTAGGGAACAAAAAGTATTAATTAGCAAATAAGTTTCACAGATAACAAGTGCTACCGTCTGGATTCCACAAAAATTTCATTACCATTTAGTTTTCTCCACAGGGAAATTAATTTTGAATAATAGATCAGCTGAGAGCTCTGAGGTGGATTGTGTTGGCCTTTGTTGAATCCATTGGTTCACAATCATTCAAATTATTTTGAAAACAATTGTGCTTAATAGACAACTTTTTAGAGGGGAAACTACATTACCCATGATGCCATGCAACAAATCCACCAATCGGAGTCACAGCGAGCCCAAAAAGATCTCTAGCCTCGCCCATTCTCATGATTCAAGTGATTGATCTCACCAAGTCAAATGGGTAGATCCACACGGAATCTGTCCATGCAGAAATCTGCAGATTTCCACAGATTTTTAGCCCATCTTTGAGTCTATTTGTTTACTTGTGTAAATGTGTGTAAATTTATATTTATACAGTTTTAAAATTAATTTCACAAATATTACTGTGATACAATAAACGTAATATTAAAATGTTCATATGATTTAATTACAATACAGTTAGTAAAGTAGTATTTTCTGTCTTTTAGTAGATATATTTTATGATGGACTTTATTTGTTTACCAAATACTTGGATCTAATTGGATATATAAAAGCTAAAAATTTATATTAAAGTTTTTAGTTATGAAACTCCTAAAATCATTCTGCATAAATCTGCAGATGTTTAACAAAATTCTCTACAGAAAGATAGATACGGTCTGGCCCTACACATTGGGAAAATGAATGGTAATAGTAGATGAGCATTAAATACACTCAATAAAAAATAAAAAAAAAGAAAAAAAAAAGAAAAAAAATGAAAGTGTACTAATGTGTTTTGGCTTCTTACCTGTGTTCGAAATCACAGAGGAAGTTTTCGTAGAGCTGTGGAAAACAGACATATAAAAGGTTTTGTGGCACATTTAAGTAGTGTGCAAACATAGATGAATTGTGGTCGGATCTGCTACCTGAATGAGACCATCCCCTTTGGCGAAATAGGGGTCCTGTACAAAGACTGTCAACTTCAGAGTCAACTGATGCCATAATCTGTCAAAAAAAAAAACAAAAAAAAACTGAATGTTAATTAATCTGCTTTTAAATCAACAGGGCCAAATAGCCTTAAAATCAATCAATCAATCAATCAATGTATCAATTTATCTATCTATCTATCTATCTATCTATCTATCTATCTATCTATCTATCTATCTATCTATCTATCTATCTATCTATCTATCTATCTATCTATCTATCTATCTATCTATCTATCTATCTATCTATCAATCTATCATTTTTTTGTTAAGGTTTGGTGTAAATTTGTCTTTTTAATTTGTTTTGGTATTGCTTTAATTTAATATTATAAAGCAATTCCAGCATTATGGATGTGACATTTACAGTAAATACTCAAAACCAAAATTCGCAGAGAAAGTATACGTTAACATTATATGGAAACTTTTGTTTATATTTTCCAGAAAAAATGTTAAAGAACCAGAAAAATATTAATCAGTAAACATGTTTTGTACTTTAAATGTGGAAAATAAACATGCGTTATGGATGTGACAAAGTCTGCAGGTTTACAGTACACAGCATACGTTGTAGAAATTCTGTGAATTAAACTGCACAAACCAAAAGAAACAATGATAATCAAAAAGATATGAGTTGGCGTGCTATAAAACTAAAATTATTGTTTTTTTTCTATTTAATATTTTCACATTTATGAGGAAAATGTGTCGTTATGGATGACATTTCTCCGTTATGGATGTGACAGATTTGAAATTGCCTCTTGTGTGACTTTAGAAAATCAAATATAGTAGTTTGAAAACATTGACAGATGCATTTTTGTGTATTTCTAAAGTACTGTAAAATACAAGCCTGCAAAAAAAAAAAAAAACATAAACAGATTCCGTATTGTAGTGAAAACTTTTTCATGGCAAGGTTGACATTTGCATGAAATTGCTCCATTATTTTTTTTATATGGTTTTGATTATATGTTGCTAGAAGGTCATATGCCCGAATAGTTGGTGGTTCATTCCGCTGTGGCGAACCCTAATAAATAAAAGACTAAGCCAAAGGATGATGAGTGGGTTTTGTAATTGAATTTAAAATTGCTTTTTCATTTGGTGGGACACATTAATATTAGCCACTACACATTGGTAGGTGCCTAATGGCACGTCAGGATTTTGCCAAGTATGATGGATCCTGGATTTGAATCCATGTTGATCCTGGAACATAATTTTGTTTAAAAAAATGTAATCCATACCTATTCCCTACCCCTAAACCCATCAATTTCCAAAATCAGAGGGAAATATAGCTGGATAATTATCATGTAGAAATTCATAAACCTAACTGAAAGCCTAAACTTAACATAAACTATAACCGTATCCCTTAATTCTGATTGACTGATTGAAATGTTGTTCCAGGATCAACATAGATGTTTATCCAGGCAAATGTCCTACTTGGTGAAATCAAGTTGGAATGGCTAATGGGAATCTAAATAAGCAATAAACAATAAATCATGTCTCCTGTGTTATTGGAAGAATCCTGACAATCCGTCTGAAAGAACAATATTGTAAGACTAAAGTAATGATGCATAATGGGGATACATAACATTTTAAAATATACCCAAATAAGTTATAGTAATATAAAAACACATACATACACGATCACCAGCCACTTTATTAGGCACACCTATGCAACTGCTTGTTAATGCAAATTTCTGATAACAGACAACTGAGGCTACAAATGGCACCAAGTTGGACAATAGAAGATTTTAAAAAATTGTTGCCTGGTCTGACGAGTCTCGATTTCTGCTGCAACATTTGGATGATAGGGTCAGAATTTGGTGTCAACAATATGAAAGTATGGATAAATCCTGCCTAGGATCAACAGTTCAGGCTGGTGCTGGTGATGTAATGGTGTGAGGGATATTGTCTTAGCACACTTTGGGCCCATTCGTACTAACGCCACACTCTAACCGAGTATTGTTGCTGACCATATATATCCATTCCGTTATGACCACTGTGTACCATCTTCTTATGGCTACTTTAAGCAAAATAACACACCTTGCCATAAAGCGTAAATCATCTCAGACTGGTTTCTTTGAGTTCACTGTACTCAAATGGCCACCATAGTCACCAGATCTCATACCAATAGAGCACCTTTGGGATGCAGGAGATTTAACGTTACATCATGGATGTGCAGCCGAAACATCTGCAGCAACTGCGTGATGCTATCAAATCAATATAGACAAAAATCTCAGAGGAATATTTCCAGTATCTGGTTGAATCTAATTCCAGTATCTGAATGAAAAGGATTAAGGCAGTTCTGAAGGCAAAAGGTGGTCCAACTCGATACTTGTAAGGTGTTCCTAATAAAGTGGCCGGCGAGTATACATACAGTACACGTTGTAATGATGTAATAAATAACAACCTTTACAACTGAATAAACTTCATATCTTTAGCAGTGTCTTACACTGGAACACAGTCTACTTTAACTTTCCAAATGATTTAAAACTATTCCAGATAAAACATTTGAAACAACAACAGCACATTATATTTAACTTACATTGCCACTTCAGCTTTGCCTTGCTAAACAAGCTAACGTTATAGCTTACTTTACAATAACGGCAACCAAATTAGAAAAACATTAGGAAAATAATGTGTCTGTAAACACACTTCGATCTGTACAAAATCGATTCAATTCATGTGTATGAGTAAATACTCTTCTGCTTTAGCCTAGCACGCTAAATGACTCAGCTAGCCCTCATTCTCCGGTGTTTTCCTACTTTCTGTTGTAGAAATCCTCCAGCGAGTGCCATTCTGCGGCGATCTCCGGCGTCGGGCTCTGGCTCTGCTGCTGCTTGAGAAACCCGAGCACATCTTTCATCTTGAATGCAGAAGTTTTGAGTGTTTGAGAGAGAGAAAATGATGAGGATTTCGCTGCTGCTGTCACGAATTTTTTTCTGGAGTGGTGTATTGAATGAGCGCGAATGAGAATGAAGCGATTCCGCCACCTAAAGGAAAGGAGGACGGGCAGATGCGCCGTCGTGATTCTTCTTCTTATCCTTGTTCAATGGCTACTAACTTCTCATTATCGTCACCTACTGTGTCGGATGTAAACTTTCATTGGCGATTGTGAGTGAAATTTGAAAGGGGTAGGAAAGAAATTTTCAATGCTTCGTACTCTTAATCTGTCACTCAGACCACAGGTTTGTCTCCTCATCTCAGCTCCTTTAACACTTACAAGTAAAATACCATCGTGTTTCAAAAGAAAAAAGCCAGTAGGCTAATAATCATTACAAATTTACCTATCTATCTACAGTGCATCTAGAAAGTATTCATAGCGCTTCACGTTTTCTACATTTTTTTGTGTTACAGCCTTATTCCAAAATGGATTCAATTCATTAATTTCCTCAAAATTCTACACACAATACCCCATAATGACGATGTGAAAAAAGAGTTTTTGAAATTGTTGCAAATTTATAAAAAAAAAAAAAAAAACTGAAAAATCACATGTACATAAGTATTCACATCCTTTGCTCAATACTTTGTTGATGCACCTTTGGCAGCAATTACAGCCTCAAGTCTTTTTGAATATGATGCCACAGCTTGGCACACCTGGGAAAACTCTTTGGGAATTATTGCCCATTCCTCTTTGCAGTGCCTCTCAAGCTCTATCAGATTGGATGGGAAGCAACGGTGTACAGCCATTTTCAGATATCTCTAGAGATGTTCAATAGGATTTAGGTCTGGGCCACTCAAGGACATTCACCGAATTGTTGTGAAGCCACTCTATTGATATTTTGGAGGTGTGCTTTGGGTCATTGTCCCGCTGGAAGATGAACCTTTGCCCCAGTTTGAGGTCAAGAGCACTCTGATTTTCATTCAGGATGTCTCTGTACATTGCTGCATTCATCTTTCCCTCTATCCTGACTAGTCTTCCAGTTCCTGCTGCTGAAAAACAACCCCACAGCATGATGCTGCCACCACCATGCTTCACTGTAGGGATGGTATTAGCCTGGTGATAAGCAGTGCCTGCTTTTCTCCAAATGTAATGCCTGGCGTTCACTCCAAAGAGTTCCATTTTAGTCTCATCAGAAGAGAGAATTTAGTTTCTTATGGTCTGAGAGTCCTTCAGATTTTTTTTTTTTTGGCAAATTCTAGACAGGGAGTTGCCTCCGTCCGGCCAGCTCTAGAAAGAGTCCTAGTGGTTCTAAACATCTTCCACTTACGGATGATGGAGGCTACTGTGCTCATTAGAACTTTCTGAGCAGCAGAAATTTGTTCGTAACATTCCCCAGCCTTGTGCCTCGAGACAATCCTGTCTCGGAGGTCTACAGACAATTCCTTTGTCTTCATGCTTGGTTTGTGCTTTGACATGCACTGCCAACCCTGGGACCTTATATAGACAGGAGTATGTCTGTCTGTCTGTCTGTCTATCTATCTATCTATCTATCTATCTATCTATCTATCTATCTATCTATCTATCTATCTATCTATCTATCTATCTATCTATCTATCTATCTATCTATCTATCTATCTATCTATCGATAATTTACAGCAATAATAAATTGAATTTTTATTACATATTCCATCAATTATTCAACTTACCTATAATGTAATTGTACCTTTCAGTCACAATTGTGTCCAAAACTTACAGTGTGTGACTGGGAAAAAATTCATAAATTCCTCTACATGTTACCCATCAACAGTGATGGTTGTGTTTTGTAGCCACGACCATTACAATTTTAAAATCTGTATTTGTATCACTAGTAATTATCGTAATTATTATAAAAAAAAAGTGTTATAAATTGGTGTTTCGAAAACTTTCACAAGAGACAACGACCAATACAGTTCTTTTATTAATATCTCACAATAAATCTCTTTTAACATAGTGTTTTACAAATCATACAACATTCCCTTCAGTCCTTCATACACAACTACACCAATAATCAATAACAATATACCGCAGTTCATTTCTTTACCACACAGAACAAAAGAAAAGTTGATAACAAGAGGCTTTATATGCTTGTGGGTTAAATTAAGTCGAACCGTTGATCCTCATAAAATATCTCGTGAATATTTTTAAAGTCTGCTTATCATAACTTAAAAAATTAGCTCAGCTCAGCCTAAAACTGAACAAATAAATAAATAGATAAATAAACATAAGTGCTGTCATCCAGTGCAACAAATGTGTTTTGTTCTCACGCCACATTCAATTAAATTAAAAATAATATCTGTGCTTTTGTGATGCATCATAATTTGGAGTTCCATTAAATGAATTCAGTTGCATTAATAAACTAGCAATGTGCAAATAAACAATGTCTTTATTGTCGCTGTAAAGTAAATAGTTCCTGCCAAAACAATGAACCCCAACCGATGTGAAACAACAACAATCATCAGGTTTTCCTCGGTTATAAAGCAGCAATTAAATTAACTTTATGGAAGAGTTAGTTTGAAAATTTATGGAAGAAGTAATTTGGAGCTTTCTGGAAGAAATCGTTTGGAACTTTCGGGAAGAATGACTTTGGAACTTTCTGGAAGAATTAGTTTGTATCGCTGTCGCTGTCAGAATTATTGGACTCTCCGAACTGTTGGCTGGCTAAATGATGGAGTTCGTGTGGTTCCATTGAAGTCATTTTACCATCAGCTCCGATCTTCATTGGTTGGATCACCTGCTCCCTGAAACGAAACAATGTCTGCAATTATTACATCATACTGTTTTGAAGTCTACGCGATATCGAAATTCAGATTTTCAACTGCTGATAATAAATGACCAATTATTCAAAAATACATCAGTGTATGCAGATACCGATATTCAGATTTTCAACTGCCGATAATATTTACCAAATAATCAGAATGACATCTGCCAAATGCGATACCGATATTCATATTTTCAACTGCTGATAATAATGACCAATTATTCAGAATGACATCTGCCTATGCGATACCGATATTCAGATTTTCAACTGCCGATAATAATTACCAAATAATCAGAATGACATCTGCCTATGCGATGCCGATATTCAGATTTTCAACTGCTGATAATAATGACCAATTATTTAGAATTACATCAGCCTATGCAGATACCGATATTCAGATTTTCAACTGCCGATAATTACCAAATAATCCAAATGACATCTGCCTATGTGATACTGATATTCAGATTTTCAACTGCCGATAATAACCAAAAAATCAGAATGACATCTGCCTATGCGGTACCGATATTTAGATTTTCAACTGCCGATAATAATAACCAGATAATTAGAATGACATCTGCCTATGCAATGTCGATATTCATATTTTCTACTGCCGATAATAATGACCAATTATTCAAAATTATATCTGCCTATGCCGATACTAATTATTCAGATTCTCAACTGCCGATAATAATGACCAATTATTCAGAGTAACATTTTCCTATGCCCATAACGATTATTAAGAATGACAACGGGCGATACCAACAGCCAATTTTTCAGAATAACAACTGTCTTTGCTGATACCAATTATTCAGATTTTCAGCTATGAATAGCCGATAATTCATAATGATTATTCAGAATGACAATTTGAAAAAGCCTAAAGGAATTCTTCAGAATGACATCACAGGCAACCGATACTTCAGAATAACCTGTTTATGGTGATATTGATGATCAGTTATTCAGAAGAACCACAATCTTCCACAATATATGAAATACAAAACATTATTCAGGCCCCAAATTATTGTGCAGATTATGGCTGCCTTAATAATTATTGACCAATATTGTCACGTCTGCTGTAGCCCCATCTTGTGGTTTTCTGGACACTGGTTATATTAATTGTTTCCAGCTGTCTGTCATTGTCTAATTATTGTTGTCTTTATAAGCTTTGTTATTTTGGGTTTAGTTTGCCTTTGGATATTTGCTGTTTGCTCATGCACTCTGTTTACATGATTCTGTTTTGTTTTGTCCGGCTCTTATCTGGTCCTAGTCTGCTCACTGACTCATCGTTTTGGTTTGTTTGTTTGTTCATTTTGTTTCATGTTATGATTATATTTTTTGAACGCCTGTTTAAACGTTGTTTGATTCACTTTTGTTTATTGTGTTGTACTTTTTGTCTCTGTTCGATTTTTGTACCTGGCCTGTCCTCTTATTTTTTATTAAAACTTCAATTGCTTGGATATGTCTTGTATTTTTGTAAGCCCATCGACATTCAAGTTTTTGTGGCTGCATTGTATTACCTGGAGAGTTTGTCGAACATGTTGACCAGTTTCATGGCTTCATATTCCTTCTGTTCATCAGTCATTCCCTCCATAGGGTTTGGCTGTTCTTCCTCCACGCGACCAGTCACTGGATTGATGCTACACAACACCAAATAATTACACATTTTTACACTCACAGCTGGGGATTATGATTTCTGAAAATGATGCACATGACATACTGTGGTTTGGCCTCTCTGTACTCTTCTGTATCACTATCCTCATCTTCTGAATAATGTCCTGGGTCTCGACCGCCTCTCATCAGTCCCCGGGCGGCCAGCAGTCCTGCTGCATTACCATAACCCGTGTACTTGATAAACCTAGACACTAATGCAGAGAGGATCAAATGATTATTACTACTTTCTGATCTTTCGTCAAATCCATTTATAATTGAGGTTACTTTAAAAAAAGTATTGTAGTTTAATGACAACATTTGTGTGGGGTTATTTGTTGGAGTCACTACTATAACACATAATGCATTTCTGATATTTACTTCTCATTTTCTAAGCTTAAATCAAGAAAAACAAGAAAGAAACAGACTTGGGTTCCTAAAATTAGCAAGTATTTTCCTCCTCTTTAAACGTACCGCTTTCCTTGCAGAGCACAAACAGGAACTCAGCCGCGCAGTGCTTTACATCTGTGTCGATGTGGGTCATCAGACGAACCAGCTT